TTTTCTATAATCTTGAAATTAAACTGGACATTTGCTCAAATTCTCAAAGCTTCATTAGAGAGCTAAATGTATGGTCAGAGAGAGAAACCAGGGGAGAGACCAGAAAGAGAGTGAGAGAGAGACCAGAAAGAAGGGAAAGAACGATCTTCTTTTATTTATCCCATGGTGGGAAAATTTCTGTTTGATGAATATTTACACATCAAGGCACGCAGCGTACATTACTTCCATGCTCCTTATAGGCAAGTGGGTAAAGTGTGTTTCCCAAGGACACAACAACAGCAGACATCCGTGGAGAAGGTCTTGCGGTGGGCTCAAACCCACAACCTTCAGGCTTAAAGGCCAATGCTCTACCAACTAAACCACTGTCGCCTCAGAGAGAGAGGAGAGAGAGAGACCAGAGAGAGAGACCAGAGAGAGAGAGAGACCAGAGAGAGACCAGAGAGAGAGACCTGAACAGGAAGCCTCAACAGTCAAACTGTAAGAAACCCTACACTAACACTATAAAGCATATGGTATACGTTATTCTCCCCATAGAGACTTCAGATGTATTAAACTAAAGTCTTACCCTGATTGTTGTGTGGTAATTACTTAAATGCATGTACAGCCCCTGAGCGCGGCCTGAGCGGAGCAGCAGCAGTCGCGTGTGAGAGCGAGGTTTGCGTGTGGACTTGTGGTTTCAGCTCATAGAGGTTGGATTTCACGTGTAATAACAGCCCCTCTGATGGAAGTTGTTGCATAAAATAGAGACACGCTTCGACATACCTTGTAAAAACACAGAGAGCAACGGAGAAATCAGTAAATAAATGAGGAAAACAACTGGTGTAGTCACGCAGCGACGCAGACATGAGTCCATGACCTCGGGCTGGGTTGTGCAAGCGCAGTCGGTGTGCGGGGCAGGTGGCTGGTGCAGGCGGTTCTGGCACACACACAGCGGTAATAAAACAGGCTCTTATGAAGACAGAAATCAAAGAGAATTCACACCATTAAAACGGCTTGGTCCAGTGTGAAAAATATGTTGGCAGCTTGAATGAAATGTGTTGTAAAGGTTGGTGCATGTGGGAGACGTAGAGCAGGCTGTAATTAGGGATTGTGAATGAATCAGCAGATAATTGGAGGTGTTTTGAGTCCTGAGAACATTGTATTCCATGTTTTTGGTCGAAACATCAGAGTCAGATTCAGAAAAGCTTTTAAATGAAATCATTTTTTTACGAATTTGGTAGTGGTACGTGTTTGGTGGTTGCTGAATCAAACTGAACGGCTGCACGCTTGCCTCACAATAAGCAGGATCTGGAGTTAGTACCATGTGGGTTAGGGTTATAGGCCCTTTTCCACAAGCCCTATGTGGCCCTACTCTTCTCGGCTCTGCTCGGCTCTGCTCGGCTCTGCTCTACCTGGTTGCGTTTCCACTGCATTAGTCCCAGAATCCCTTCTCAGACCAGTTCCAGTTCCCCAGCTCAAACCAGTATCAGACCACAACTCAGACCAGTATCAGAACACAAATCTGGCCAGTCTCAGACCATTTCAATTAAACTTATTTTTGTGTAGTCATAAAACACAACAGTAGATTACTACGTTTCAGAGAATAAAACACAGGAAATACAATAATTCCAAAAACACAGAGGAGCCAAAGATTCAGTAAACCAACCTAGACAGCCAGACCAGACCAAAGCAGACCTCAACAGCACAATAATTGGTTATTGGTTATTCATGTCTGATTAACTCTTTTCAGCATGGGTCAAATGCAGGGAACAAAGTTGGACTAAACATCAGCTCTTTATTAATATTGATTCTAATGTTTAGAATTTGTTACTGGTTATTGTGAGTCTGATGGTTGGGCACTGTCGGGGAAATGAGAAAATATATTCAGAATGCAACTGTGGTCAGAGTACTAAAATGCAATAATCATGGATCATCATGAATACTATGTGGTATTTGTGCATGCTATTTAGAGGTTTAGTCTGGCACAATATAATTTTTATAAATCATGAAAACAACACTTAGTGAGGCATTAGGCACATTGTATCATACTAACCTCTAAGGGGAAAGAAGAAATCTCCCTTGTCCCCCTGGTGTTTGTCTAGTCCCTCTCTCTAGTCGCTCTCTCTCTCTCTCTGGTCTCTCACTGACGGGGAAATGTTATGTTGGTTATTTAAAAATCAAAAGTTCTGTTGGGTCAGCCCTGGACACTGAGACAGAGGACACTGTATCCAGAGCGGAAATGAGTGGACTGGCCACATGGGCTTATAAAAACATCCATCCAACCATTTTTGTCCCCTTAATCCATTTCTGAATCGGGGAGGAGACTTGATATTCAGCGGGTGCTTCAGACAAAGTGGGGTCAAGTGTCTTGCCCAAGGACACAAAAACAGCAGGCATTAGTGGGAGTCCAATGCTCCAATGCTCTACCAACTGAGCCACTGTCGCCCTTACTAAACCAATGCAACTCATAAATAATCTTGAAATTTGGCTCAAAACTTGCCCCAAAGCTTGCCCCAAAAGAAAACATCTCAGAAAATGTGAATATCATTTTCACAATGGACCGGATTCTAAATCATCCAAATAAAAGATATAAAACAGTAGGGAAAACGTGTTAAACCTTATTAGCCCTAAATAAATGCACAGGCTAAGAACATATAATAAAGAAAGCAGGCTGTGTACCTTCTCGTCACTCTTCTGAGCAGATGGTGGTGATTTGGCCCCACTGGTATTTGAATAACTCTAATACGTCCTAATTACAAGGCTGTGTGGGTGATGACAGGTATCCGGGCGTATCACAGAAGAAGCGTATATTGTACAAGAGCCACAAATTTCCCAGTGTTGTTGATATCCAGCTGAGGCCACGCCGCACGGTTGTTGAGTCTCCTTGTTTACGCAAATCCAACACATGACAGACAGAGCAGAAACTTCCGCGACCACAGGCCTCAGTCTCACGCACGGAGCACGCCACTTAATACACAAAACAATTACTGCTCCCTGAGACTGTCTGAAGTCTTGAGGGACTAAGGAAGGACCTTGTACTGGTTAAACAGGGCCAGTGGAAATGCTCTCAATTGGGGTAGAGTAGAATAGATGGATAGATAGATGGATGGATGGATGGATGGATAGATAGATAGATAGATACTGTAGATAGATACAGTAGATAAACAATCGCTGCCTCCCCATGTTACTAGTCCTGTCTATGGGCACCAGCCATAGGCCAGTCCCTACGCTTCTGAGAGTCTGAGTTGGTTCATGTGGCAGTAACCTGACACAGATGTACTTTATTGTGAGGCCATGGAGAGACTTGTACACAAGCAAAGCTGCTTTAAAGTTTATTTTCTGTTGTGTCTTGCCTAAAGTAATTGATAAAGACATCGCCCAAGTAAGTAACATACAGTCTATGTACTGTAAGTAACTCAAATGTATTAATCAAGCACTGTCGCACAGAGTTCTCCCATTATCATAAGAATCACACTGGGAGGTTTCATTAATACATATAGTTTGCAATAGGATCCTGCAAGAAGCCCTCAGCATAAAACTGTACTTTATACTCAACAGGAATTACATTCACAATGCAACTGTTTTAAAATGTGCAACTTTCCATGTTCTTGGGAAAGTTGTAACTTCCAACAAGGCACTAGATCAGACGCAGAGTTTAGGCCAAAGAACAGCGGTGTTTGAGACCAAATTCGGACTTGGACACATTTAAAAAGCACTTAAAACGTACACATCCGCCAGTGAAAACATTCTTCTCTCCTTTTTGCTGCTTGTGATTCATGTCTGGAGTCTGTAAATATTATGGCCACGCTGACAGCTCAAGATGATGGATCAGCCCTTTCTCCTCAAGTTCGACTTTTTGAAATAAACCTATGACACATAAGTTGATGACTCATAGACCGGCTGTGTAATTTTGTTAATACTTTATTTATAAGACAAAACATTCACTGTCTAATCTTGCCAGGTGACCCCAAAGATTTGGAGAATACATTATACTGGAGAGTAGTAGCCAAAATCCTCCTGACGTGATCTTGATTCATTGAGTAACACAAACTTCAAAAGTGCAAAAAGGGATTATGGGTTTACAAGGACTGACTGTAGTAAAGTGTGGAAGGATGAAGCAATGGAGCCAGGGAGAAGCTGCTTCTATATGGTCAGTCACACCTCGTATATCATTTACTTTTCATTTGCGAAGGACAGAAAGGTTGAGTGCAATAATTTTTCCCAAAAAGCCAGCAAGGATTTTTTTCAGGTTGTTAGGACATTGAATTGTGTTAATTGTGCAAACCACTGCTGTGACATTTCTTGCCATAATTTCAGGTGTATGACAGCAACTCGATTGAACTTTGTCAAACTTATCATTAGGACATAGTGACCAGGATTATGGGTTTCGGGGTTATGTATGTTGTTAGAAAAAAACAAACTAACATTTCAGTTTAGTGCATACAACTGAAGGATTGTATCTTCACTCTGTGTACTGTAATTATTTATGATTTTAAAGTTTTTTTTCTAACATGTAACATATAAAGCACTTTGAATTACCTTGTGTATTGTGCTATACAAATAAAATTGCCTTACAAATACGGCTGAATGGCAAAATCTATGCCGAGACACTCAAACTTGCCTCTCTACACACAATTCCAGGCGTGGAGAATCAGCGGCTCTACTCCGAGCTCCCCCTGTGACTGAGCTGTCCTCTGCGGAGGACACTCATGTCACATGAGATCTCGTCACCTCACCTTTCAGTCATTACCCTAAGATCATGACCAGAGGTGATGGAGGTGACGTGCACTGACTGTAAAAGAACATTTAGGTCATCATGAATGAATCAGTAAATAACAGATTGTAGAAGTTCGCTGAGCTCTTCCGGCCTCTCCTGATGTGGTGCAGCAGCGCCATCTGTCGGCTGGTTGGAGCTACAGGCCGCGGTCTCCCCACAGTGACACACCGCCTCTCCATAGGTGCACAACACAGCACAGGCCGGCGACTGACTGCCTCTGCACCAGGACATAACAGCCGCCAAGATGTCGGACATGGAAGACGATTTCATGTGCGACGACGAAGAAGATTATGACCTGGTATCGGTGACTTGAAATGATGTGTTTTTTATTAAAACTTGATCGTTTCACTGACAGGAGCTAACATGCTAGCCGCTGTGTGGTTAGCATGCTGGCTAATGTTAAAGCTTGCAAATGGAAGTCAACATTAGCATTTTAACCGGCATGCCGTGCCCAGCAGCCACCGATCGACAAAGTAATTTTGAAAAATCACAAATGCAACAAAAAAAGCCCGGGGATGTGTATGCAATTATGAAAAAATAACTTGAATAACAGTTCTTAAGAGCAAAACAGCCGGCTAGCAAGTCACGCTGTTGCTAACGTTAGCAGGCTAAAGTCTTCTAGGGGCAGAGTGATTTGAAGGGTTTTATTTCCCATTTGTGAAGTGTATCTGCAAACTGTTTGGATCACATGGTGCCAACATTTACACAGCATGTAGCAGCGCATGCACATGGATACTGTCTTTTATACCTTTGTTTATTTGAAGGAATATTCAGAGGACAGCAACTCAGAGCCAAATGTGGACCTGGAAAACCAGTACTACAACTCCAAAGCCCTGAAAGAAGACGACCCCAAAGCAGCACTCAGCAGTTTCCAGAAGGTAGGTGGTGTTTATTCAATAGTTTGCAATAAATCACATCTATACTTGTGATTTAATTTATTGTTTTATCCAATTAGAGTGTAAAATTATGATTACCTTAAGTTCAGCATTCTACTCCTACCCGCAAAATTTAGAGCACAGAAATGTCGTCACAAGCTTAGAAATATTTTAATTGATCATGCAATTTTTTTAAAGATAATCTTTATTTGTACCACAGTGGGTAAAGATTGTAGCGCACATACAGTACTGTAGTAAGAGCACACAACATAAACAGATATAAGTAGCTGTGAACACTTCTAAGTTAAAGCAATATGGGCAGAATGAATAAAGTAGATTCAGTGGACATTCTGAAGTTGCAGTATTGCACATTATTTCAGTGTTTACAGATGACAAACAGGCTCAGCAGTTCTGACCGCAGCATGAAGGAAAGACCTGCAAACTATGGACCAGTCTTTCGCTTAAGCTGCCCTCCAAAGCACTATTTTCGTTATAAGCCAAAGAATTTAGATGTATTTTTTCCATATTATAGTTTGACAATACATTAAGGATTACTGATATATTTCCTGCTGTAGGTGTTGGAGTTGGAAGGAGAGAAGGGCGAGTGGGGATTCAAAGCACTGAAACAGATGATCAAAATTAACTTCAAGCTGGTATGTGACGCATTATTTACTCATTCTTACCTTTTATTGTTTAGTTTTTCTCTTCTGAAATAACATTTTTTCTCTGCAGACTAATTTTCCAGAGATGATGAACAGGTACAAGCAGCTGCTCACATACATCCGGAGCGCGGTCACAAGAAACTATTCTGAAAAATCTATCAACTCCATACTGGATTACATCTCTACCTCCAAACAGGTACAATAACGGGGAACGTGCCGGCTTTACTCAATGCTAAGAATTTGTAACATATTATAATTACGTATTCAGAATCATAGCCTGTTATGAATTTTTGGTGTTGCAGTGCATTTACATGACACACGTACAAGTAGTTAGAGCACACAACGAGCACCCAAAATATAGCTAGTAGCTGTGAATGCTTCTAAATATGAGCAATAAGTATGTGTCAACATAGAGATAGTTATCTCTTTCATATATATAAATAACACGTAAGTTAGTGCAATATGGGCATATGTTGGTAGAGTGTTCTTGCAGATGATGGTGGAGCAGTATGAAATGTCCACATCAATCATGGTGCTCCTTTTATTGCTACACCTCTGCTCTGAGAAAGCACTGGGCAGAAACACACTACCCTCTATAGTTCTTATTGTATTGGATCGCATATTTTTTATAGTCCTATTCTTTTAAGATTTGGTCTAATTGAATTTGACTCTGAAAAAAACATTATTCACAATAGTAGCGCTATGTTTTTTGTCATCAAAGACAAATGGCACTGACTATATTTTTATTTAAAGTGCTTCTTGTTATTGTTATTTATTTCCAACTTGCACAGCAAATATTTTCACATATATCAAAATAAGTATGTTATTTTGAGTATCTGGTTTGAAAAGGGGTTGGATGAAGCAAATTCTTATTTGATTCCAACCCTATCACACAATACACTGCTAGAGCAATATCATGTAGTAGAATTCAAAAACACACAACTGTACAGTACTTACAGTAATACACTACCACAGATCCAATAAGACAGATAAAACGTATCATTTGTAGCCTCTTTTGTGATCTCATACCTTTTGTGATGTCATACCTGTTATTGAAATACATTTTTAAAAGCACTTGGATGAGTCATAGTCATAACATGCATTGTCCAGATATATTTCGCCAAATGGTTTTTATAATCCACATTCTTTGAGTCAAAGTCAGGTGTATACATTAAAAAACAAGTAGTAATTTTGTTTTTGTCATTGTCTTTTGTAAATACTTGACTTTTCTTTAAAAAACAATTCTCTTTAGATGGACCTGCTGCAGGAGTTTTATGAAACCACGTTGGAGGCTTTGAAAGATGCAAAGAACGACAGACTATGGTTTAAAACTAACACAAAGGTACATTTTCACATTATTTTAATTTTGGTTACAACTCTGTGGGGGCCAGCACGTTCTACTCTTAAGTAGCTAAGCATTACTAGCTAACACACATTTTTCATCCATGATGGATAAAAAACATTTTCCCATGGCTTCCTCATCGACATGTTGCTAAGTGTGGTTCTTCTGGCACTCCCCCCTTGTTGGTTCCATTTATTTCATCGTGGTAGCGCAGTGTTCCGTCTTTTAGGCGGTCGTCGCCATATCCGAACGCTCAAAATCTAATTCCAGATTCTCAGGGCTTGTGACAGTTTTGCAAGTGTTTCCATGATTTTTGTGATTTCCATTTCTCATTAAAATGTTAAATCTTTTTACAACTCCAAAGGACGACTTATACATGTACAACAGGACATGTTAATATTGCGCACTACTGGATGATTTCTATAAATAATAAATGTGATCCTGAATGCTTGTGATGGTAATGTAATGACTTTCTACTGGAGCTGGATCTCTGTGTATGCACTTCTGTGTTCTTGGACACATGCATATTAGCCGCGCAGAGTTAACATATGGCAGGAGAAAGTTTCAGTTTTTGTATTCTGCACTTTTTATTTTAGGGTTTACAGCCTTACTCTGGAATGCCTACATTTCAAATCTGTTTGCATGAGTTCTGCAATTCATACGTTAAACACACTACAAGTTTCCCATCCTCCTTATTTAGTGATATGGATTTGATCTGTTTCCTCCAGCTCATACAGCACTGAGGGGGTGGTTAGAGATGACACAGGGACCATTTGAAACAAACGCACATTTAGAATGGGTCAAAGTTATCACATTATATTTACAACAAGCAATATAGCACACTTTTAACGTGTATAAGTTGTCTTCACAATTGAGCCCTTTGGTATCTAGCTTGAAATACTAGAGAAAAAGCGTTTGCAGTTCTAATACATGTTTTGCCATTATCCATATCTCTAAAAATTCTGAAGTGATCTCACAGAAACCTCACAAGCTCCAACCACTCAGAATCAGAGTTTGGTTGTTAGAACGGCGACAACTGTTTTGGAAATCTGCAGTAGCTCAGTTGGCAGAACGTGCGTCCTCTGAGCTGAAGGCTGTTAGAATCCTGCTCCCGACATAAATGTCACTGGTTGAGCGGTCATATCTGCTGACTCACAGGTTGGCAGACGTGTCCTTGGGCAAGACACTTTACCCACCTCGCCCCCAGTGTCTGTGTTCACTGATGTATGAATGTGTGTGGTTCCTTGACGTTGACTGATTTGAGTGCCTTGAAGAAGGTAGAAAAGAGCTGTATAAATGTGACCATTTAACTGTCATGAATTGAATGCTTTGTGCTTGTCTTCACAGTTGGGTAAATTGTATCTGGAGAGAGAAGAATATGGAAAACTACAAAAGATCCTTAGGCAGCTTCACCAGTCATGTCAAGTAAGACCTGTATTGCATTGTTTTCGTAATACCAAGTTTCATTGTTAAACTATTACATTCATTTGTTAGATAGTTAGATAGTTGTTATACATATGTTCACGAGTCAACACTTAGAACAGTGCTTCCCTGTTTTACCTGTAGATGGAGGTGTTTCCTTTCTAGAGACTTTTTAATGTATACCATGGTCTATATATAATATATATATATATATATATATATATATATATATATATACATACATACATATATATTAGGGCTGTCAAACGATTAATTTTTTAATCGAGTTAATTACAGCTTAAAAATTAATTAATCGTAATTAATCACATTTCAAACTATTGGTAAAATTATGCCATATTTTTCTGTAAATTGTTGTTTGAATGGAAAGACAAATGACAGCTTAGTGAACATATGTACTGTATTTGTTTGTTATGACAATAAATCCATATAAAATAGAATGTTAATAATGTTAATTCCATCTTGTTTAGACTCAGACCAAAACTATTGTTTGTTACAGATGAGGGACATTTCAAACAGTCTGAAATGCAGAATGTCATTCAATCTGTTTGATTTGCTCACACCATTACTTTTTTTGGCACAACTAACATGAACTGATGGTCGAAAGGAAAATTAGGTACCTCAGCTTTAATTTAGCGAATGCGCTTCGGGAGAAGACACGGAGGAGACTGAGGCTCCGCAGTCCAGCTTCAGCGCTTTACATATTGTGTGCATCGGTTACGCAAAGACACGTACACACACTAGAGAATAGTTCTGTAATAGTTCTGTGCGTGGTCTTGGATATGATCCCATTATGCAGCGCCGGTCGCCGTGATCACAGCCGCTGGAAGTGGGACCTGCTGTCCAGAGCGCTGTCGCGCCCGCAGCTCATCATGCAGAGTTCTTACAGGAAACAACAAGTGCTTCGCGGTCACGCGTGTATTCTTTCAAAACTTGAATTCCCAGAGGGCCTACCTGCTCTGTCCCCATCTTACACACGCATGTGTCCGCGGCATTCTGAGTGTTATTATGGGACGCATGGGCATGCGTCAAATGCGTTAATTTTTTTAACGCGATTAATGAAACAAATTAATTAACGTGCGTTAACGCGATAATTTTGACAGCCCTAATATATATATATATATATATATATATAAGAAATAGTGAAATCTAACTTAACATACTCATATTATTCAATTAATTAATTAATTAATCAATTAATACTTGCATAAGAGCCATCCGAGTCACTGTTAAGATTAAGAGATCGTTTATTCTATGAGTAGGGCACAAGATAAATGAACAATAACTCTATACTAAAAAAAATAAGATACAAATAAAATCTCTACCTTTGGCAAGTCAACGACAGTCGACAGACGAGTGAGTAAAGTGGCAGTAACGGAGGCCTAAAACACATGCGTGTCAGAACTAGTGATATAAGCAAACTGTTTGGAGAACGAGGAACTAGAGATTTTATTATTAAAGATTTAAACACTATGTTTTGAAAGTTGTGTATTAAACTACAAAGCATACTCTGTAGAAATATACACTGAAATATAGTAACTTAAAGGCAAAGTGATAGTAGGTTACAGTGTGCAAAGATACAACAGGCCTAGTTGCATTTAAATAGAGGTAAATTGTAGCACCCCTAACCACACACAATACATGACACAATATGAACAACAGAATTATTTACAATCTGCTTAATGACTGGTCACTTGATTATCTTTGAGCAATGTCTTTAGGCTGATTTTTACATTTTCCTAGTGACCTACACTCCCTCCCAACTTACTACTTCTTCAATTTAAAAGAATCAGGTTTAGACTGGAAATGCTTGCTTTCATTCAGTATCATGCAACTGATTAGCTTTGGCTTCTTAAAAGCAAACTGTTCTGTTCAGTGTGCTCATGTTGTGACGCTGTGTGGCCTTCAGACGGACGATGGGGAGGACGACTTGAAGAAAGGCACACAGCTGCTGGAGATATACGCTTTGGAAATACAGATGTACACGGCACAAAAGAACAACAAGAAACTGAAAGCTTTGTACGAGCAGTCGCTTCACATCAAGTCCGCCATCCCCCATCCGCTTATTATGGGAGTTATTAGAGGTAAGAAGGACATAAAAGACTTTTGACTTCGGTGAAAGTGCGGTGGAAATGTTGTTCCGTTGTAAGATTTAGGACGATATAATTTGATAATGGTGCAACAGAAACGATGCAGGTCCCAAAATAGAAACATGAAAAACATTTCAAACATGTGTATCAAGTTACATTTCTGCATTTCTGTGGTAATGCTTGAATTAGCCGCCATCTGCATGTTAAAGATGGATCCCCTCAGCCCTCTGAAGCTATGCAGGGCAGGGCCTGGTTGGTACTGTGATGAGACCTCTTGGAACACCAGGTGCCAAGTGGGGCGGGTGCGGCTTTAAAGGGTCAAACTGTTGTTGTGTTCACTCACATTTCCTAAGAATTAGTCTGGTGTGTTAGTGAATGGTTGATTATGGTGGGAGGAGCTGAAGGCACATAACAGAAAAGCTAGAAAACCTGGAGCACGGCCAGGTGCTCGTCAGCCCAAAATATGACAAATAATTATTAACATGTTTAAGTGATGGCACTAATAGTTGTTATTGTTAATTATTGTATATCAAATTGCGTTTCTGCGTGGTAACGCTTGAATTTGCATCAAAAATCTTGTGTCGGGCTTTTTAACCTGCAATCTCTGATCATTCAAACATTAAATACATTTTGAAAATGCCACTTTAGATGGTATATAGCAAGATGTAGGAAGATGCTTGATTTTAATCACCGTGCAGAGACTTGAACTGGAGTATTGTATTTCCTGGTTCTAGTCAGAACTTGAGCTGGAGCCTTTGAATATACCAGTACAGCTTGTTTATAACGTAATAAAATTTTGGATTTTGCTAAATCTTTTTTGGTTAACTCAGTTGCACACGCAGGCTGGGTGGGCAAAAGTACAAGAATGCTTTATGTATTTTTCTTCTTTAGTAAAATCCAAACTATGTATGATTGTTGCAACTTGTCACTTTGTTGTGCAGAGTGTGGGGGAAAGATGCATCTGCGGGAGGGCGAGTTTGAGAAGGCGCACACAGACTTCTTTGAGGCCTTTAAGAACTACGACGAGTCCGGGAGCCCGCGCCGGACAACATGTCTGAAGTATCTGGTGCTCGCCAACATGCTCATGAAGTCTGGGATCAACCCTTTTGACTCCCAAGAGGTGAGGATGCTACCATGTGTGTGACATCACAATGCCCCCCAATGTGCTTAATGAGGAAACTGTGACTTTATTAAGAAGAAAGAATAATAAACAAATGCAAGAGTTTTTAAACTACTAAGTGTGTTTAAACCATACAATCTACTGCTTTGGGTTGTTTAATATCATGGTCAACACACTCTGTAATGTACCAAGCATAAGGCAAGGACAACAGATGTAAAATCATGTCTAGTTTGACTAATTAGTGTAATAATTATTTAGGCCCAACAGTAATCACAACCAAACTTCCCAAAAGAAACGACTCCACTAAGAGCTAAGGCGGGACTTAAATGCAGGAGGAGTTATCCGAAAGGGGAAGTGCTTAACTGAAATAAAAGTATACTGTTCACTGGAGCATAAAACGGCCTCTAGACCCTCAGTCTGGTCTGGCATGACAATAAATCAAGTGTAAGTGATGTTTCAAAGGAAATATAAATCGGAGTAAAAGAAAATTCTAACACTGTGGAGTGTTGGCAGAATAAATTATATATATTGTCCTCTATAATCTCAAAAACATGTTTGACAAAAGGGACTTCATTTTGGTCATGACAGCAGATGCCAGGGAGCTTAATGCTGGCTCTTCGCTCATAATGAAGACACACATGTCCATAAACACTTGAGAATAAGCAACATTTTTACTCCGCAATGCATTCTTTACATCATTCAACACCCTGCTTTGTAATTGACCTTTGAAAAGTAACTTTATAATCCAATCTTTATTTCCCAACTGTGGGACGAAAAAAGGATCTCTTATCTTACCTTAAACCTGTTAGTGGTTGGTGCGCAATACTGTGTGTTGCTATGGTTACGCGGAACTCAAAACTGCCTGGTGTGCCTTATTATTTTTTTGTTGGTGTGAATGGCACTGCCACAACTGACTCACAGTGAACCATCCCCAAGACACACAACAAAAATATTAACCAAATCTAAATGTACATTCTTTTATGATATCAAGTTATCATTGCTGTTAGATTCACACGTTTCTGGTGTGACAATTGTGTGTTGTGTTTAGAAACTGATTTTAGTTAATATGTCTTTGTTCCATCTTGTTTACAGGCCAAACCTTACAAAAATGACCCAGAGATTCTAGCTATGACAAATTTAGTAAGGTAAGAAAACACTCCTATTTCTGCTTTAATAGGTCTTTGATTTCATGCCTTTAATTTACCCAGAATGTGTGTTTTATATTCAACCTATGTATTTATATTGGACCGTAGAGGAAACTTCTGTGATCTTATTAACTAGACATTCGTTCACCTCCGACCAAATCTGTTTCACTTTGTGGATGTAAACTTCCTGGTTCTACTCCGGACTCAAGCTGCAGCGTTTTGAATTTGCTGTAGCTGTTTTACAACTCATTTGGAGAGTTCAGTGAGCAGACTCTTACAGTAGTCTGACCTACTGGAGACAAGTGTGTGAATAAGAATCTAAGTTTTCATTACACACTATATTTTTCATATTGTCTGTGAAAATCAGTAAATTTACTTTAACAAAAACATTTCAACCTTTTTTGACCAAACATAATAAATGTACTTGAAACAAAAAACTGAGCCTCCACTTCCTCAAACGGCTCACACAATGATATTTACACTTTAGTACTGTATTTTTAGAGTTGGCTCAGTACCAGGATGAGGCAGCGCCCGTATCTTAATGAAGAGACAATGTGGGGTTTGAAATGAGTCCTGTCTGTTTCTCTTCCTCAGCGCTTATCAGAACAACGACATCACTGAATTTGAGAAGATCTTGAAAACAAATCACAGCAACATAATGGACGATCCGTTCATCCGAGAGCACATAGAGGGTGAGACGTGTTCTTTAATGTCAGCGGTTAGAGATGTCTTTGGGAAGAACTCACTGGTAATGTGTGTTTGTGTTTTGCAGAGCTGCTGAGAAACATTAGGACTCAAGTACTTATCAAACTCATCAAGCCTTACACGAGAATACACATCCCTTTCATTTCAAAGGTAAGCCCTGGTAAATGTATGTTCAAATGATGAGGTTTGAAAGTAGGTCTTGTGGATTGAGCTTCAGGGAAAGCCCTTACCCTAACCCTTAACAAACATGCACGCAGATTCAGCTAGCAAAAATGCACGTAACTAGGTTGTTTGAACACAGCCAAACCCACTGCCTCAACTTAAATTTCAATTCAATTCAATTTATTTGTGTATAGCCCTAAATCACAACAGCAGTTGTCTCGAAGGACGTAATAAAGTTGTCAATTCGCCAACGACTAATCAGAGAATCAAACGGTTCAAGGTTGTAGATCTGTGCGGCCCAAACGCCCGGGCAGATAAGAGGCTGGATTCAGGAGTCCCATCGTCAGACAAGGGGACAGCGGGCGAATAGCAAGGAACAGTGACATGACAGGAAGAGGTGCTGATACAATGTCTTAATATGCAGCTGCGTCTGCTTCCTCAACCTGAAGATTTTGTTAGACTTATTCCATATACTGTATATCCAAGCAGTAGTTCATAAACACGTGATGATATCAGTGTTTGTTCTGCTGCGTGTGGCTTTAAGTTGATTGTGTGGGGGATGAGCATGCACAGACACTCCATCTGTGATCAAACACCTTGGAGCGCCAGGAAATTCAGATCCAGAGACTTTTCTGTTTTGTAAAGGGCTAAACCTGCATTATTTATGAAGGCCAGTATCTGTAAACATTGAGGTGTGTGGAGAAACTAGAATGCTGCAATAAAAGTATTATTTTCGGCAATTAAAAGTTTGCACTGCCTCCTGATTAGTATAATTTATTATTGGTTATGGAGTTATGCATCAGCAACGGGTCACCAAAGAATCACTCTGCTTCTTTCACTGTTCACTCTCCTGATAATGCTGAGCAGTATTTTGATTTCCCACTGTGCAGTATAGATCCACAGTGGCCACCACATATCCCCAGTTCTGTGTAATATCAGGTTCAAGATTTTCCTTGATCATCCAAAGTACACAAGTGACACGCTGCATTTTTCACAGACTGCTTCAGAGATGATTTTAAGACTAATAGGCATACATATATACTAGTATAAGTACTATATAAGTATAACCATGGTTTCCGGCAGAGCTCTGGTCAATCACTGTCAGTTAGAACACGAGTACCAACTCGGCCTGGATAGAACCAAGACCAAGCAGCTATAAAAAAAGTAAAAACTACCTGGTACCAGTTAAACAAGGCCAGTGAAAACACTCCCAATGTCGAAGAAGAAGTAAGGTTGGTGGAACTGGGGCTATAGACGCAAGTGCTGCTTGTACTTTTACTGATAAATGGAAGGTGATTTTTAAAAGCACTTTTGAACAACATTTGAAGAAACCGCTTAAATGCAACAGCTCAAACTGAGTGTGACCAGCCGATCATAAATGTCTAATAAATTCTCTTGTCCTTTACAGGAGCTGAATATTGATGTTTGTGACGTGGAGAGTTTGCTGGTGCAGTGTATCTTGGATAAGTAAGTCACCTTTGTCACCGGCTGTTACTGGAAACGTTTTAGTTCCTCATAGTTGACTTGGAGGTGAACAAATGCATAAAGAGGCACGTCAGACTGAGATTCTTATCTTGTGTTTTGTTGCTGTTGTTTTTTACTTATTTTAATTTAGTTATTATTAATTAATTCATTTAAAAGCACATATTTCACGTTAAAATATTTTTTAACTGACCCCTACAAATGTAGACTCCAGAAGCTTGGTTTTTAGAGCTAAAATTTGACTAAAGTAGGTATTAGTCAAAGCAAGCTTACAGCAGAGTTGCTATACAGTATCTCTAGAAGTCTTATCATTTAAAGCATGGGTTCCCAAAGTTTTTAGTCGGTAAATCCCCCCCACCCCACCCTAACCCTAACCCTTGTTTTCCAAAATCAAGATTAATTCCCCCCTGGACTGCCACCTTAACGTGGTGGGGGAGTTTGAGTACTCGGATGATCCTGGGAGCTATGCTGTCTGGGGCTTCATGCCCCTGGTAGGGCCTCCCATGGCAGACAGGTCTCAGGTGACGAGTCAGACGAAGCGCAGTCCAAAAACCACCATGGATCGCACTATAACGAGAGCAGTGACGTCGCCCGGCATGGCGCAGCCGGGGCCCCACCCTGGAGCCAGGCCTGGGGTCGGGGCTCGTATGCGAGCGCCTGGTGGCCGGGCCTTAGCCCACGGGGCCCGGCCGGGCTCAGCCCGAAGGGATGACGTGGGCAGTCCCTCCTGTGGGCCCACCACCTGCAGAGGGGTCCGTGGTGGCGCGGTGCTGAGAGGACTGGGCGGCAGTCGAAGGCGGAGACCTCGGCGACCCAGTCCGCACACACAACATCTGGCTCTTGGGACGTGGAACGTCACCTCACTGGGGGGGAAGGAGCCCGAGCTCGTGGGGGAGGTTGAGCGATACCGACTAGAGATAGTCGGCCTCACCTCCACACACAGCTTGGGCTCTGGAACCCAACTCCTTGAGAGGGGTTGGACGCTCCACTTTTCTGGAGTTTCCCGCGGGGAGAGGCGGGAGCTGGGGTGGCCATTCTCATTGCCCCCCATCTCAGCCGCCATGTGTTGGAGTTCTCCCCGGTGAATGAGAGGGTCGCGTCCCTCCGCCTCCGGGTGGGGGACAAGTCTCTCATTGTTGTGACGGCCTACGGGCCTAACAGCAGTGCAGAGTACCCGGCCTTCTTGGAGTCCTTGGGAGGGGTACTGGACGGTGCACCGCCCGGGGACTCCGTCATTCTCCTGGGGGACTTCAACGCCCATGTGGGAGGCGCCAGTGACACTTGGAGAGGGGTGATCGGAAAGAACGGCCCCCCTGATTTGAACCCGAGCGGTGTTCAGTTGTTGGACTTCTGTGCCAGTCAGTTTGTCCATCACGAACACCATGTTCGAGCACAAGGGTGTCCACCAGTGCACGTGGCACCAGGACACCCTAGGCCGGAGGTCGATGATCGACTTTGTTGTCGTATCATCTGACCTTCGACCGCGTGTCTCGGACACTCGGGTAAAGAGAGGGGCGGATCTGTCAACCGATCATCACCTGGTCGTGAGTTGGATCCGCTGGCAGGGGAAGAAGCCGGTCAGACCTGGCAGACCCAAGCGTATAGTGAGGGTCTGCTGGGAACGTCTCGCTGAGCCCCCTGTCAGACGGACTTTCAACCCGCACCTCCGGGAGAGTTTCTCCCAGGTCCCGGCGGAGGAGGGAGACATGGAGTCCGAGTGGACCATGTTCTCTGCCTCAATCGCCGATGCGGCGGCTCGTAGCTGTGGTCGCAAGGTCTCTGGTGCTGGTCCCGGCGGCAACCCCCGAACCCGGTGGTGGACACCGGCAGTAAGGGATGCTGTCAGGCTGAAGAAGGAGTCCTATCGAGCCATGATGGTTCGGGGGACTCCTGAGGCAGCTGTCCAGTACCGGCAGGCCAAGCGTGCCGCGGCCCGGGCTGTTGCAGAGGCAAAAACCCGGGACTGGGAGGAGTTCGGAGAGTCCATGGAGCATGACTATCGGTCGGCCTCGAAGAGATTCTGGCAAACCATCCGGCGCCTCAGGAGGGGGAAGCAGTTCTTTGCCAACACCATGTACGGTGCGGGTGGAGAGCTGCTGACCTCGACTGGGGATATTGTCGGGCGGTGGAAGGAATACTTTGAGGTTCTCCTCAATCCCCCCGTCACGTCCTCTGTTACAGAGGCAGAGGCTGAGGATGTTGGGGCGGATACATCTATCTCCCTGGCTGAGGGCACCAAGGTGGTTGGTAGCCTCCATGGTGGCAAGGCTCCGGGTGTGGATGAGATCCGCCCTGATTATCTAAAGTCTCTGGATGTTGTAGGACTGTCTTGGCTGACACGTCTCTGCAACATCGCGTGGCGATCGGGGGCAGTGCCAATGGAGTGGCAGACCGGGGTGGTGGTCCCTCTCTACAAGAAGGGGGACCGGAGGGTGTGTTCCAATTATCGTGGGATCACACTCCTCAGCCTCCCCGGTAAGGTCTACTCCAGGGTACTGGAGAGGAGGTTACGGCCGATGGTCGAATCTCGGATCCAGGAGGAGCAGTGTGGTTTTCGTCCCGGTCGCGGAACACTGGACCAGCTCTATACTCTCCATCGGATACTCGAGGGTTCATGGGAGTTCGCCCAACCTGTCCACATGTGTTTTGTGGATTTGGAGAAGGCGTTCGACTGTGTTCCCCGGGGTGTCCTTTGGGGGGTTCTCCGGGAGTACGGGGTCGGGGGTCCTCTGCTGAGGGCCATTCGATCCCTGTATGACCGGAGCCAGAGCTGTGTTCGCATTGCCGGCAGTAAGTCAGACCTGTTCCCGGTGAATGTTGGCCTCCGACAGGGCTGCCCTTTGTCACCGGTTCTGTTCACTGTATTTATGGACAGAATATCTAGGCGCAGCCAGGGGTCGGAGGGGGTCCGGTTCGGAGACCACAGGATTTCATCTCTGCTGTTTGCGGACGATGTTGTCCTGTTGGCTCCAACGAACCAGGACCTGCAACATGCACTGGGGCGGTTTGCAGCCGAGTGTGAAGCGGCTGGGATGAGAATCAGCACCTCCAAATCTGAGGCCATGGTGCTCGACCGGAAAAAGGTGCCTTGCCCTCTGCAGGTGGGTGGAGAGGTCCTTCCTCAAGTGGAGGAGTTCAAGTATCTCGGGGTCTTGTTCACGAGTGAGGGAAGAATGGAGCGTGAGATTGACAGGCGGATCGGTGCAGCGTGCGCAGTGATGCGGTCGCTGTATCGGACCGTTGTGGTAAAGAGGGAGCTGAGCCGAAAGGCAAAGCTCTCGATTTACCGGTCAATCTTCGTTCCCTCCCTCACCTATGGTCATGAGCTTTGGGTAATGACCGAAAGAACGAGATCGCGGATACAAGCGGTCGAAATGAGCTTCCTCCGCAGAGTGGCTGGGCGCTCCCTTAGAGATAGGGTGAGGAGCTCAGTCACACGGGAGGAGCTCGGAGTAGAGCCACTGCTTCTCCACGTCGAGAGGAACCAGTTGAGGTGGCTCGGGCATCTGTTCCGGATGCCTCCTGGACGCCTCCCTGGGGAGGTGTTCCGGGCACGTCCCACCGGGAGGCGGCCCCGCGGAAGACCTAGGACACGCTGGAGGGACTATGTCTCTCAGCTGGCCTGGGAACGCCTTGGGGTCCCCCCGGACGAGCTGGAGGAAGTGTGTGTGGATTGGGAAGTCTGGGCGTCTCTGCTTAGACTGCTGCCCCCGCGACCCGACAACGGATAAAGCGGAAGAAAATGGATGGATGGATGGAAGATTAATTCGGGCACAAAGCAGACTCTCCATCACGACAGTTGCACAAAAGCACCTTTTTAAGTCTGTTAACATCTTTTGAAAAAGATCAAAGGTTAAAGTGAAGTGTGTATTAAGCTTATATATATGGGTCAGTCCATCTCATGGAGCCTGGGTTTTGTCAACTCTCAACCAGAATAAAGAATCAATAAGTCTTTTAAAGTCACAGTGCACACAGGGCGGAGGGAATTACATTCAAAAGTAGTAACTTAAGTTTAGAAACCATTTCGGGAAGTCATATAGACATCTTTCAACATATTTTTCACCAGGGTAACTTTGTCAAGGAAGGAACAGCGCTTCTCTCTTGTTACATGGCTTGCTAACCTACATTTAAGCAAGAGGCTATAAAACAGTCCATAGTGGAAAAAAGCCTAGAGCCGAGGCAGCGTTGGAAATGGCACAATCGGCTTGGAAGTTTATTTACCGTTTTTTCGACAATGTACAAGATTAAAGAGCTTTTAAATGCTTTGCGTATAAACTGATCCAAACAAGATTAATATGAGCCAGGTTTACCGTGACCTTAAAGATCTGATCCCTAGAATATTATGTCTCAAGTTTGTCCCAAGTCATTTTCATGACGGCTCTCTGCTCTTTTTTTGCTTCCAGCACCATCCACGGCAGAATCGATCAGGTCAACCAACTCCTGGAGCTGGACTATCAGAAGAGAGGAGGTGCGCGCTACACGGCTTTAGACAAATGGACAAATCAGCTGAACTCTCTCAACCAAGCCATTGTCAGCAAGCTCACATGATCGACGGCATGTACGAAAACGAAACAGAAACACGACCCGGGGCCCAGCAGGAGGACAGCAACGCGTTTTTTAAAATACATCGATTAAAATACGCTTCAAGTAATCCCCAAACGGCGCACATAGGTTTTGTGAATTCCACCGACGTGAAAAGGACTGGGAAACATGTTCAGAGTTTTGTTGAGTTCTGTTTGCTGCGAGAGGAAGTCACCGGCACTTATTTTTTTGTTTCCATGTTTTATTCCGATTGGCCGATCCGTCATGTGCTGCACACGATTGCTTCAAATGTTAAAGAGTTGTGTATTAACATGTACACAGTATTTTCATGTATACTGTTGCCTGTTGGTAATAAACCGAGTCCTCTCAGCACTCAAACCACTGCTTCTGACTAGACAACGGGTCAAACGGTCATTAAACAGTTTTTATTTGTTTTTGTCCATTTTTAATTAAATAAAATACATGTTATGAAATATTTTTTTTATTGATAGTACAGGAGCATTGTAATATAAGCTGCTTCTACTTTTAGTATTGTGTCAACATCTTCAATATTGGCATCCAGCTAACGGCATTCAATGTGTTTATGTCAATGACAGAGAGCCACACAATTACCAAATTTTTTCATTAAGAGCTACTTTAGTTAAACCAGACATGTCCAGGGGATAGTAAAACTTTTTTGACTGGATTATGTGTCCATTTGAACTAACGTATAACAGAGCTGAAGTTGGCTGAATGGCAACGTTTAATCTAATCTCACATTAGCGCCATTTTGTGACAGGAAAATTGTGAAAGCAAAAGTCCACATATACAAATTTAAGCCAACTGCCCGAGTCTTGAGCTTTCCAGTGAGGTATAGCTGAAGTTGGCTGGATGACAATGAAGTTGTTTATGAATACTCACAGAGAGGGCATTATTGGCCTGTGGACCTTGGAGCAGCAACAACACTGCAGAGATAGATTTTTTGTGTGAAAAGTTTTTCAGAGACTACAGCTTGGGTTTGTTTACGCAGTTTTTTCAATCCAGATGAGCCTGACTTGAAAAATAGATCATAATAAAAAGTGCAGTCAATGACAGATTAAGATTATCGGTACAGTGTGGAAATTCAGTTTCATTCTAGCTTTGTTATTAGAAGTCAGCAGATTTTTCTGTGGTTTTTATAGTTCAATACTTTGGGGGCAATGAATGTACTTTATTGTATCTTGCGTATATAAATATGTGGCCACACATGCTGGGCAGGGGCTGGTTAATACTATGATGGGAGTTCTTCTGGGACACTGCTATTGTGAGGCTGTGCCAAAATGTCACTGTGTCCTTATGCAAGACACTTTCCCCTACTCTCAATGGATTTTTAACCAGGTTAGTTAAACAATAAGTCAGTGTTTTAGTAAAATGTTGTCCGACCAGTCATAGGTACAACAGGTGCTCTCTTGACTCTGGACTAGCCATGGCCTTCAGAAAAAAAAAAAATGTTTTGAACGCTTGTACTTAGGACTACTCATAAATCAAGACAAGTTTTGCAGATTTGAAGCATTATCTAAAGTGACTTATTCAACAGCGAAAATAGAAAGTGTATTGGCCAAAAATACTGTGCCAAAAATATAGAGTTCACTCAGTTATTGAAGGATGAGTCAATGGAGTATCAGACCTGCTTATCATCGAGTAACAGTAAAAAAAAAATTGAATGGAGAAAAGTCCTTAAAGCCAGGGATCCTAACTTTGTACTCATGAATACAATACAAAGAAAACATTTCTCAAAGAAAAATCTTGTGAACAAATTAGACTACATAATAGTGTCTTTATCCTATCAGAAAACATGTTATCCTATTAGAAAACATTTACATACAGGAGCTCTGTGGGATAAGAGCTGATTAGCTGAGTGATGATGGTTTTCTCTTAACTTTTCTGTCTAGAAAAGCTGATTTAATAAATGTGACAGGGTTGAATACGTGCAGGTGAAAACTTGTGGTGGAACTCAACTGTATTGAGAGTAGTTGTATTTTATTTTGCAAGGTTTAAAACATGAAGCAAATACATCCCCTGTTAAATGCAATGAGAGTAGTATAGTAGTAAGTAGTAATAATATTATTATTACTTACTATTTTTGAGGCAGCAGTGGTTAGCACTCTAGCTTCTCAGCAAGATCTTTCTTAGTGGAGTATGTTCCTCCAAACTCTTTTCAACCTCCTATCCGTTGTCTGCACAGGTTTCCTCCTAGTGCTCTGGTTTCCTTTATACCACCAAAAACATGTACAATAATTCCGTCCTCTCTGGGGCTAGGACTCCCCTGAGATTTTGAAATCTCAGTGGGATTCCCCTAGTTAATAAAGGTCTTTACATCTCTGACTGACACACCTTTTTTTCTTTTTTTTTTTCTTTTTTAAGAATGGGAATAAATAGAGGAGGGAAGATACAGATCAATATATACAGTTAGACCAAGCACCGAATAGTAATAGGAATAATTGACTCCCACTGTCTGCTGTCAGTGTATCCTTGGCAAGACACTTAACCTCTGGGAACACCTGATGCCACAGTGGGGCGGCTGTGGCTGTAAAGTGCCAAACTGCCGTTGTGTCCTGAGGCAAGACACTTCACCTCCATTGCCTAGAATGAGTCTTGTGTGTGAATTGTTGGTGGTGATAGGAGGGGCCGATGGCACATACTGGTTGCCTCGCTTCTGTCAGTGTGCCCCAGGGCAGTTGTGGCTACAGAAGTAGTTTATCACCACCGTGTTTGGAGTGAATGAATAATGACATGTGAAGCGTCTTTGAATGTCCAAAAAGGTGCTATATAAAACTGATGCGTTATTATAATAATAATTATTATTATTTATAATTCATTCGCGCAGTGACGTCAGTGGAATAGGGGTGTTTTGGTCCTCGTCGGCTGCCGTTCCAGGTGACTACCATTAGTCTCAGTGACAGCGGACCGAGCTGCCCTGTCTTCGAGCAGTGATCGTTTAGGCTTTACCCTCAGCGCCTTAAACCTGTCTTTAAATATAAAAATGACAGAATTACAAAGACTAACCTCCTGACAACGTGGTCAAATGCTGCTTTCTCGTCGCGGTGTTGGTAAATGACATGGACGCTGGTGACAATAAGGTAATTTCACGTTTTGTTGTTTTTGTTGTATTAAACGTATGGATGTAAACGTATCAATACTCTAAGCAACATACAATCAGGCCGTATGAACGTTCCTTTTGTCATATTTTTATGGATCTGACCCAACGCGTTGTAAGTGTCATTTTCCAAACAAGTCAGGATTTCTTGTGTTTTGAAGCTAGCTAACATGATCCGCTAGTACTAGTAGCCAACGCAGCGCAAAATGGTAAGATCAGGGAATATATCGATAATTCTGCGTTACAACACTGTTTTCAGTCTACAGTTATTTATATTCTGTTTGATTTTAGTGTCTGGTTTTAATATGTAACCAGACCTGTGTTGAATAAATGACCGTGTTCTGTGCTAGCATGTGTTGCTACGTTAACTAGCTGCCACTAATGGACTCTTGGTGTTGCCTTTTTGATTCAGGTGTGAGCATAATATGTAGTGGTTCCTTTTCTTTGCTTTGTGTTTTTGAATAAAAGGGTTTATAAATTCGACAATGTGTGCACGTCAGGGTGGTTGTCAACAGAGGAAAGACGGGCATGTTTCGTAAAGCTGGTGCTGGGCAAGCTGGTTCTGCTGCATACATGGCATTCCTCTCGGTGTGTAATGCAGAAAGTGGAGTTTGGTGAGGTTGTGGTGACGAGATTCTCATGCTGCATGCCCTAATCCTGTGATCGTTTATCGGCAAATACCTCGGCCTTTTCAGCTGTACATGCAGTTTCTTGTAAGGTAGTTGGCTAACACGATTTCTGGAAAGAAGTGCGTCAAAATGAAGAGATCAAGCAAAGTTGCCTAAACCTATTTTGTCCTTAGAACCTGGAACTCAACATTCCCTGTAGTCTATTATCTTTGACTGCATTATTCACAACAATAAAGGACTTATTGGTTTGAATAATGTAGTTTATTGCTGCATTAACCTCAAGTGCCTTCATAAAATGTGCATTCTCTACGCTGCCTCCTGAACTGATTGTGGAGAAATAGACTATACTGTTTATTTATTTTATACCGGGCAGTACCTTGTAGTAGTTCTGACTATATAATTATCACACATGATCTCAGTTGATCATTGGTCTCACAAACTAACCTCATAAATATCGTGGTTTTCTTCAGAATCAGCAGAGGTCATGGTTACAGTTTGCTCTGGAAATACTTGGAAACAAATGAGCCTTGAAAAACATCAGTAGCTGATGTGAGTCAATACTTTATTTGATCTACTTTTTATACTTACCTTGTTAATTAATCAATTATCTTTATACCCTTTACTGCATATTAATATTTCAATAATTTATAACGTATTACTATGTAAAATGAGCCCAAAATAAATAACGATTTCATGTTGTAATAGTTCTATGTGCTGGATGAGTTACAGTTTTGCAAAAATGAATATCTGTATATTGAATTCAACGTATTTATGTATAGCCCTAAATCACAACAGCAGTTGTCTCGGAGGACTTTACAAAGTTTTCGATTTCTCAACAACAGATCATAGAATCAAACAGTTTGAACACAGGAAATGCAATGATCCAGGACTCAGGCTGTAGATCCAGGACTCGGGCTGTAGATCCAGGACTCGGGCTGTAGATCCAGGACTCGGGCTGTAGATCCAGGACTCGGGCTGTAGATCCAGGACTCGGGCTGTAGATCCAGGACTCGGGCTGTAGATCCAGGACTCGGGCTGTAGATCCAGGACTCGGGCTGTAGATCCAGGACTCGGGCTGTAGATCCAGGACTCGGGCTGTAGATCCAGGACTCAGGCTGTAGATCCAGACCTCAGGCTGTAGATCCAGATCTTGTGCTGTTTCCGGCCTACATCAATAGGAAGTGTGCTAAATACACCAACACGATAGTTTACTTTATTAATGGATATGGTGCAAATCAAGTAAATATAGATTCTTGTTCAAAGTCTTGAAAAAGAATCTATGAAAGAGTAGTTTGGGGTTCTGAACTTACGCCTACTTCACAGTTTGCTCCGGTTTCATACATTTTTCCCATAGGAGTTTTGAAATATTGAAATAGTTTGAAGGTATGATGGAGGCCTGCTGTGTGCTAATCTAATCCACATAGGGCTTGGACAATAACCAGGTATGAAGGCATTTCCTTCGTTAAAGTAACTTACGCGCTGAAAATAGTACTTTTCTTTACTTTATTTGGATGATATTTGTGATTTGTTGTTTTTATGTCCTTGTATACATCTTTTTAAATTAAAATAATAGTTACAGATTGGACATAAAATAAATTCTTTGTTTTGATGAGCAAAACAAAACAGTAGATCTACGGTCATACTCAATGCTTTTCTGAATTTTCATAGTGTGGAAATGTCATCCCAAATCATTTCTGAAATTAAAGTTTCTATTATTTCTATATACATTGTATTTTGATAAGCTAGTTTGGTTGTTGGTGATAGAGCTGGATGAGACGGAACAGACGGATAAATGGCACCACATCCTAATTGGATGTTGGATTTTCCATATCTTCAAACTAATACATGTTTGAAAAGGGTTTGGACGAAGCCCACACTTATATTATGATTTGTGATGCATCATGTGATGCCTCATGACGATAATATACAATAACCTTGATTAAACAAATAAGTTCCTGCATAAAACAAGGTTTTATTCTTTACTGCAGAGGCATTTCATTGCCTTCAGTGCAGGCGTCATGCAGACATTTTCCTGTGAGACTGTGCTGCAATTGGGTCAGTTCATTAGTTAGCCCACTTTTATAAGTGCAGATGTTTTTTCTTCATCCAAGAATATGTTGTTCCCCTAAAAATGCCTGAAAAGTGGAGAGCCACTGGAACAGCTCATGATGAGGATGATGAAGAGGAGAGCCACTGGAACAGCTCATGATGAGGATGATGAAGAGGAGAGCCACATGAACAGCTCATGATGAGGATGATGAAGAGGAGAGCATATGGAACAGCTCATGATGGAGATGATGAAGAGGAGAGCCACTGGAACAGCTCATGATGGGGAGGATGATGATGAATGTCCACCATCCCCTGCTGACCTCTCCGCACACAGCTCCTCGGGTTGAAGCAGCGTTGTCCCTGTGATACCCTGAGCACAGAGACTCCTGAGCGCTCTGTGGCCCTCCCATGTTATCAATCTTTTGTTATCAACTTGATTTTGTTTTCAGTATTGATTATTTGATGATCAGCAATAATGATAATAATGAATGTCATAGAGCGTCAGGACTCTGCCTTGGGGCAGACTGACTGCATATCTCCAACCGGTATTCCTCAATCCGGGGGTTGGGGACCACTGCTCCATGTGGGGTGAAGTGCTTGAACCATTCTACTGAGAAAAAGGGTCTTTCCTAGCGGTCTCCTGCTGCTTAGCTTCTGAGCTCTGATAAGACATTCTGATGTCACACATGGCCAGTGCAGTTGATGCTGCAGCATGCTACATCTCTATTGTAATTGGTTTAAATCCTGTTTATCCCCTCTCTTTTCTAATCCTGGGACAGCCCTGTATCAGGCTCCACTGAAACTGCTCTTGTGCAACTGCACACCACAGACTCCACAGGCTGCGGTTTCACAATCACAACACGACACGGACCGATGCTGGCATTGGGACAACAGAGGCATCATTTTACACAAGACCAATGCCTCGTCCATCTAAACTGACTCCAGCAGTATTGTTGTTAGTTTGAAAAGTGCTTCTTTAAGACAAAAAGACAAAACAACTGAACAAGCAATAGGTTCTCTGTTATCCATTGGGCGATGGAGCTATAAACTCAGAAGAGTGGTCAAAATGTTGCTTAATTCCATTTTTATTTTTTTTAGAATGAATGTCTGGTAAGAGTGGTCTTGCTTTTTGGTCTATCCCTATTGAATAATAGCTCATTTTGTTTTTTTTCTGAGAGAGCCAATCCCTGTGCTTCTCAGAGTCCCAGTAGGAGACCAGTCTCTGTGCTTCTCAGAGTCCAAGTTCAGATTCCTGCAGATCTGGAACAGTCTTCCTAAAAATGTGAGACAGGCTTCTACTCTGACAGTGTTCACCTCTAGGTTAAAAACAGTTTTGTCAATCTATGCATTCAACTGAATGATTGTATCTTCTCTTTTTAATGTACTCTGATTATTTATCATTTTAATGCCGTGATGGTTTATAGCTTGTTTTGTTTACGCACTTTGCTGTGCCTGAATTAATCAGCTGACTGGTTAAACACAAAGTTGACATCATATTACCTAGGGCTGCACGATATATCGAAAAAGTATCGTTATCGCATCAAAAGGATGCGCAATAAAATAAAGAAATATACATATATATTATTATTTTTTTATTTTTTATTTTCCTTTATTAAAGACGACAAAACAGACACACGTATTCAACAAGAACAAAAAAAAAAGTATATAGATGCATTTGAAGGTCATTTATGTTTTTGCTTGCATTTATGTTGCTTTTATGTTGTGCTTATTTTTTGTTATTTGTCTCTTGCGTTTTAATGCAGATTGCAATTTTAGGTGACAGACAAAAATATTGCAATCATTTCGTTGTCGCAATACTGAACACTCGTATCAAATATCGCTCTAATTTCCAATATCGTGCAGCCCTAATATTACCTCACAATAATACTTCATGTCATTACATAAAACTGTCCTTCTCATCTCCTGAATTATATGGATACGCATGCAAACGTCTTTGATAATTCAACACTATAATTTGTGTGTCTTGAATCTACAGTGTGTATTGTGTGTCTTGAATCTACAGCCTGTTGGGCCTCCCTGATGTTTCTCACTTTTTTCCACTGTTCATTAAAACCTTGTTCTTTACCAATGCAGGAGAGTCTATGATCCAGACCATTTAATCACATTTATTAATATTTCTGCACAGGGTTGCCAGATTGGCACTCTCAAATACATCAAAGCACACCGAATGACCTGTGTATGAAAAGCGCTATATGAATAAACTTGACTTGACAACGAAAGAATGTAATAATGATATTCCATAGACTGTAAAAAATAATGGACGTAGTCACGCCTATCTCCGCCGTTCAAACTAATGGGCCAAAAATTGTGCTCTACTGCCAATACTGCTAATTCTTCTTCTGGGTCCACCCCCATCGGCCCGGGGGGGTATTGCAAGCATGTCAGCGCACGTCATTTTGGCCACTTTTGAGCCGGGACCCGCCCCCACTGTATAATACATAAGAAAAATATAAAATCTAAAATAAACTCGTATGGTTCCTACAGAGGGTAATGGATATTGATAGTACAGTCAGAATACAAGTCATTTTAAAGCTTGTTAAAATTTTTCCATGTGTTTAAAAAGAAAACAAGCCAAAACCATCTTGAGCGTTTTTTTGGGCATTCTTGCGGGTCTTGACAAGGTTTTGGGCTTGAAAATCTTGCTAGCATCTGGCAACACTGTTTACCAATGGCTCGTATGTGTTTGTTATTATTGCATTTCCTGTGTTGCTGGCGAAATGACAACTTTGCAAGTCCTCCGAGTTGACTGCAGTTGAGTTTTAGGTCTATACAAAAATGATTTAAATTGCATTGAATTATAATCATTCATTTTAATATCTGCAGTATTATGTATTACTTCTTGTGTTGAGAGATGTCCACTGATATTTCTGACTCCAGTTTTAGGTTAAACTAAACTATTACAAAAATGCATCTGAATATAGGAAACAAATGACTGAGGCGTAGGTGCTGACTCATGGCATTGTGGTCACTTGTCATTTGATTCTCATTATAGCGTCGAGTCAAACTTATTTGTAGCTCTCAAATAACTTCGAGTCCAATTACAATTAGTTTTAAATGTTGTGATAAGCTGTGAGTGTGGGGCTATAGCGGTCAATAAAGCTATACACAAAAAGACCGGCTTGAGGTGAACCATTTCCTCTCTGCGCTGACGTAGATGAGGATCTTCTCATTCATTTGGGATTTTGTTGCATATTGGAGAGGTGAGAGTTGTGGGATTGTTCTAAGTGATCCATGGAAAGACAGTTGTATTAAGAAGTACATAATGAAAACAGATATTTCAACAGGGAGATGCACAGGTCTTTCTCCTCTTCCTCAGACAATAGAGACACCTGGGGGCAGGTCACTCATGGGCCAGTTTCCACAAGAAGAAACACATGTCGCCACATGTGAAATGGCCACATGTAAAATGGGAAGCTCAAGGAAGGAAGAAGGGGAGAGGTACAAGGGGGTTCAAACAAATCAAGATGATATTTATTTAAGGCAAAACAGTCAGATCAAAATAAATGATCAAGAGACACAGTAGATCATAAGAGGGCCATAAAACAGAGCTCCAAAAACCAACCAACATTAAAATCAGGAAACTAAACTAATCCTTTAGTTTTTTCTGCCCTCACTTGGGTAACATGGAAAATGTACTTTTATAGTATTTAACCAACCATGTTATTGGTTGAATTATTTTCTTGAATGAAACCTACTGATTTAGACTGTTCTGTTACAAATAACAATTTTGAGCACAGATATTCAAGTTACTATTCTCCAGAAGGAACCAGTTGAGGCAGCTTTGTTCGGGATGCCCCCTGGACGCTTCCCTGGAGAGTTATTCCTGGAGGAGACCAGCGAAAGACTAAACCAATCTGTTTATGGAAAAAAGGAATTATTTTTGTCATTTGTTTGTGGCATGAAGTTTCAATATAATTAAACTTTGTATTGTGACAATCCCATACACACGCTGTTTTCAGAATCAATGGCAAATGTGGTTTTCTGAATTCTGGAGGAAACTGTGGAAATGCCCTCTGACAGTGGGATTTCTGAGGACAAAGGACATCTGTGTGGTCCACTGATGGTCCATTCATGTCCATGTCCAAGAAGACGCTTTGTCTTGTGAACTCTGTCAACTCTGTCCGCCACAAACAAACATCTTCATCACATTAACACCATCAACCTATTTCTGTCTCCTTTCACGATCATAACATTCATAGAGTTTGTATCAGAAAGTGGTTGTCATTCGCAGTTAAATGGTTTTTCCTCCACTTCTGTAAAACATTGCCTTGAGTTTGTGAAGAACACTTAAAGGATAACTTGTAAGGCAAGATAAGTTTATTTTAGTAGCACAATTCATCCACAAGGAAACTCAACGTGCGTAACAAAACAGGATAGAAACAATCACACACACAGGCCTTTAAATCATAAATAATCGTCCATCCATCCATTTTCTACACGTTATCCATTTCTGGGTTGAGACGGTGGAAATCAGCAGCCACCCAATTCCCAGAGCACCAGCCCCTCACTGACCCTCCTACTGGGGGCTTTAAGACAAATGGGGCTTAAGTGTCATGCCCAATGACACAACGATGGCAAACATTAGTGGGAGCGAACCCACGACTTTCAGGCTCAAAGGCCAATGCTCTACCAACTGAGCCACTGTTGCACCCATAAATAATCACAGTACATTAAAAAGAGTGAGGATTCTTCCGTTGTATGCGGAGCTAAACAGAACTGTTTTTCACCTGGATTTGTTGGATCTGGAACATTCTAGGATTTTAGCTGCTTAAAGAAGCAATACTGCAGTTTCTTTTTTTTACTTCTACTGTTGCTTCTTCAAACTTCAGCTGTCATTCATTATTACATTATTTACGATGCTGTAATTGCTGTCGTCTCTGAACAGCTCCATTAGCCCCTGTGATGTCCATGTGACCCTTAGTTGACCTATGACTTCAGTGTAACGCATTGTTGTCAGTGTAGTCTAGTAGTGTTTTTGATGTTCACAAGCTTTTACCTCCTGTCAATCATTCACCTTATTGATGTTTTTGTCCAGAAGTACCTCCCAATCCCAATAAGAATAATAATTCCTTTTTTTCAATGGAACCTTGTATGGCACCAAAGGGCGCCTCACAATAGAATTTATGTATACAAAATGTACGAAAATACAGATTAAATTGCTTTAATTACTTTATTTCAAAAAACACAATGAATAAGCCAATTTAATCCTTGTGCTACCCTTCGATCAAAATGACCCGCCACATGGATTAAAAGTAGACTCTTAGAGACACTAAATCACGGTCTCAAATGATCCAGGGCTGATCAAGTTAGAAAAAATCATCAAAATTCAGCTTGAACAAAAAATACTGTGTGTATTTTTTATGGCAGGGCAATTTGACCAGCTCCCTATGGACCAATGGCTCTGTGTTTTTATCATTGCATTTCCTGTGTTGGAACGGATTATTTCTCTGATCTGTTTTGGCAAATCGACAACTTTGTAAAGTCTCTGAAATGACTGCTGTTTTGATATATTGTGAGAAGTGAGCTCAGGGAATATTGATAAATGTATTTACTGTATTTTGTAGTTAATACATAAAATATATATATATCTTGAAAATGCCATAAACATCTGACTATAACTTTATTAATTATGTATGTTATGCTAACTAACAGACAAACAAACCGTGCTTATTTTATTTCCCACTTGGCGAAATAAATACTTCAGCGTCACTTAACCCAACCCCTTTCCATGTCAATATTAGTCTGATTTTTACTTACTTTTCATAGATCATCTTTAGGTCATCCATGCTCCAGATAACATTTATTAACCATTAAAATTTTTAATCAAGGTGATTACAGCAACATTTTTTATCGTAATTAATCACATTTTAACTATCAGCAAAATTATGCCATATTTTTCTGTAAATGGTTGTTTGAATGGAAAGATAAATGACAACATAGTGCACATATGTACAGTATTTGTTTATTATAACAAAAAATCCACGTAAAATGGCATTAACATTATTAATTTTCTGTCTTAGTAGACACTATTTTTTCAGCACGATATATTCTGCATCTGCTAATGCCTCCTCTCCCTTCTTTTTCTCTGTCTCATAAAGGCTGTGGATCCTCTACAAGCTATTGTTTGTTACAGGGATGAGAATGGGACATTTTAAAAAAGTCTGAAATGCATGTCATCCAAAGGGCTGTCATTAACTCTGTTTGATTTGTGCACAACATTTTACTTTTGGGCACAACCAACATGAAATGGTCGTGCAAAGGAAAAGTTTGGCACCCCAGCTTTAATTTAGCGAGTTTCGTTGTGCTTCGGGAGAAGACAAGGGGGAGACGGACTGTTTCTTGCAGCGCTGTATTTATTGTGTGCACTGGTTAAGCACCGACACGCACACAATAAGCAGAGTATGGTCCTGTGCGTGTGTATGGCCTTGGGTACATGGCCACGTTACGGCTGCGCGCTCCTGTGTTGTTGAAAGCCGCTCACAGCTGCTTGACGCGGGAACTGCTGTCCAAAGCGGCCGCAGCTGCCCCAGAACGCTGCGGACTCCCATTCACAGCAATTGCCGCATACACTGAGGAGAAACTGAGACACACACACACACACACTCACGTGGGGAGCCAGTCATTTGGCACATGCGTTAAAAGCGTTAATTTTTGTAACGCGTTTAATGAAAAAAAAATGTTTAACATGCGTTTACTAGATAATTTTGTCAGCCCTAATTAAAATGTTACGTGTTGGTGATATTAATTGAAGACGAGGACATTAGACGCAGTTTGAGCCCTGACATCTGTGTGCCTTTGTGCTGCAGGATGTGAAGCTGTCTGCAGAAGTGGAGCCGTTCATCCCGCAGAAGAAGGGCCTGGAGGTGGTGAGCATGAGTCTGTCTGGAGAGGCGGCGGGCAGCGGAGGGAGCGGAGTGGAGACTACACCCATCCCCAGCTACCTCATCACCTGCTACCCCTTTGTCCAGGAGAACCAACCCAACAGGTAACAGCCGCAACAAGGGTGGAAAACGTTAGGGGAGAGTACACCAGTGGGCACATGTATTTGTTCTGATTAATTCAGTCAAATTGAAATCGCAACTTCTTACTCTATCTATTGCTGCTGAAACCAGCTCTGTGGTTATAAAGTTATGTCAAATAATGCAGGTGAAAAAAGCACATTTGAGATCATACTAGTTTGGGAAAAAATACAGTTTAACTGCTAGATTGCCATCCTGGAACTACGATACCCATAATGCTTTAGTCCCATGATTGACCAAGGGGCTTTGATTGATTGAGCTTGACGTCCCCCATGAATGTATTACATTATGTGGATAGGGAATTTCTGCTTACGTATAGTAATATATGTATAGTAATAACAATGCATCAGTTTTATACAGCAATATTTTTAGACACTCAAAGACAGATCAAACACGTCTTTATTCATGCACTCCGTACACGCCGATGATAAACTGCCTTGGAGCAGACTGGCAGAAGTGAGGCAACCAGTATGTGCCATCAGCCCCACCAACCATTCACTCACACACGGGACTCATTCTAGACAATGTTGGTGAAGTGTCTTGCCTAAGGACACAACGACAGTTTGGCCCTTTGCAGCTGCCCCACTGTGGCATCTGGCGTTCCCAGAGGTCTCCCATCAAAGTAATATCCAGACCCTACCCTGCTTAGCTTCATGAGTGATGTACGTAAAGAATGTATGTATTGTAACCTTGCAGTATTTCCTTAGGATGCTTGTATTTAAGATAACACATGGAGGAATAAAGCAGTTACATGAGGTTTGTCAAATAGATGAATGTGTGTTTGTTTGATTTTTGTTAGATCCCTGTAGTTTCTGAAAAAAAAAACAGTGGCTATTTTTCCTGGGGTCTACTCCTCAAAGTCACGTTGACATGAAAATGGACAGAATGGATGTACAAACAAAAAATATGCTATAACAATAATACACTGTGACCTTAAAGAAGGAGTTACAGGTCTGTGAGAGCCACAAATCTTGCTTGTTTATAGGTGACCAAAAACTTATTTTCCACCATAATTTGGAAACAAATTCTTATTTTCTGTTTTGTTTTTTTCTCTTTCTGTCTCTCATAGTTGAGATGTACCTAAACTATGAGAGGCTTTGAGATAGTGCAAGGGGGAAAACTTGCACTATTGGTGGCTGACTACCTTTATTCCCCACTGTAGTTGTTTTCACAATCTGATGACTGCACATGTCCATGGCCTTTGGTCTTCTGTGTAAAAAGCTGTTTAATTATGAATGAAAAGCCTCCCTCCAGTTTGAGTTAATTGTGTATCCATTGGTCATTGGTCAGTTTCTCCTCTGCTCTGAACACATCCGCCCGGTTTCCTTCCTTCATTCTCAATGTGAGGAAGAGGCCCAGAACCCAGCAGAACCCAACTGGTCGTCACCACATTATTTGTTTCAGCAAATTGTATCAATAATGACTTATTTCTCTCACTTGAAAAAGCAGTTTTTGTCCAAATCTTTTGTAAAGATGGGCTCAGAGGCCTGACCAAAATAATTCACTATATTTTCTCAATCCTATGAAATCCTAAACTATATCCTTATTCTTCACAGGCAACATCCCGTGTACAATGGAGGGGAGCTGCGCTGGCAGCAGCCGAACCCCAGTCCTGGGGGTCCCTACCTGGCCTACCCCATCCTGTCGTCCCCTCAGCCGCCAGTGTCCAACGACTACACCTATTACCAGATCATGCCTGCCCCCTGCACCCCCATGATGGGCTTCTACCAGCCCTTCCCTGGGCCGTACCCCGGCCCCGTGCAAGGCGTGAGCCCGGTCTCCACAGACGTCAGTGACCGAGCGCTATCTCTGGGTTCAGCCTACAGCCTGAGCTCCCAGAGAGGGAGGGGCCTGGTGCGCTCGGGTGTGCTCCCCAAGGTAACATGCTCTGCTTTCTTCACTCCTTAAATTGAGTCCATGAATTAAGTGTCATTCTTTACTGTTTTCTCCCAGAAAGACATTATCTACATTCAGTACAAACGTATTCAATATTATTTCAAAACGATTGTAATATACTCGTATCAACATAATGACTTTATTCTACCCATTTGAAGGCAATCATAACTGCCACCCGATCCTCATAGCATTGGCCCCTCACCGATCCTCCTACAAGTGGTGGGTCCACAGGGACTTCAGGCAAAGTGAGGTTTAGTGCACACAACGATAGCAGACATCAGTGGGAGCAGTGGTAGAGCATGGGTTGACCATTGCTCTACCAACTAAGTCACTGTCACCCTATTTGAATTCATAGTCCTGAATTTACCAATATTTCTCAAGTATTCGGCCTGTTGGATATGAGAGACAGAGGAGCAAATAATCAATGATGCAAGGAATATCAGACGGGAGACTTGGTGACGGTCTTTAATGTGTGGACGAACGTGTGGACGAACGTGTGGACGAACGTGTGGACGAACGTGTGGACGAACGTGTGGAGCATCTCTGTAAAACAATCACTATATGGTTTGGTTTATTTAGCGTTTGTCTGTGTCTCATTTCACAGGACATTCATCTTGTCCAATAAGAAACCACAGTTTTACTGATTTAACCAATAGAAACATGTCACTACAAGGAAAATTCTGTCAGATAACATTTGCAGTAAACACGTCAGCATTTCCAGTGGTCAGAAGGTCCAGCTCTTCTTGCATTCTTGGCTTGGACAAGTCAGTGTTGACAGACCAGCTCAGGACGCCATATTGGAGAACAGTTGGTGTAGACCTAAAAAAAACCATGCTTTCAATAATCCTTTCATTTCATTCTGTGTGTTTTCCAGATGTCTGTGGTTCAGTCGCCGCTCGGGGCCTGTGAGCAAAGGGGCCGCAGACCCCCCACTCGCACTGATGCCCGGAGCAGGGCCGTGATGCTCGTGGACGCAGCGCAGCAAACGGGTGAGCGAGATTTATGAGTTGTTTTTATTTGATATTGATATTTGACCGTACAATACAGTATTATTGTTGTGACTCGGTGGCACAGTGGTTTGAACTCTTGCCTTAAAGATGGCCCAAAATCACAACAGCAGGAGTCTCGAAGGACAAAGTTATCAATTTCTCAACAACAGATCTGAGAATCAAACGGTTCGAACACAGGAATGGCCATAATAACAAACGCATAGGAGCCACTGGCATCGGCAAGGCAAGATGGAAACACAAGACATTAAAATCAAAAATATTCACAGTCCATTATTTAAAGGGAAAAATGTAAGACTATTGAGTAAAACAAGGACAAGAAGAGAGAGAGAGAGAAAACAAAAAAAACATTGGAAGAGATTTTTTTAATTTTATGTAGAAAAAATGCTTTGTTTTGTTGAGTTTGGAAAAATAACTAACATTATACAACACTATCTTGCGTAACAGGGCCATAAAAGTTCATTCTATTATGCTACTGTCGGTCACTGCCCTCGGCGCTCTTTCTGACGGTAAACTTGCACAGGGAAATGCCCAGATTGTACTCACGGGTTATGATAAAATGGCAAAAGTATTTGAAGAAGACTGTGATTGATAGGCTCACATTTGTTCTTTCTAATCAATAATCCTTGTTTTGAATTCCAAGACAATGGATTTAAAGTGATAGTATGTAACTCTAAATTAATTACAAATTTTAAGAATTGTAGTAAATTAACCTCCTGGTGTTAAATGTTGATATAAAATAAGTCATTTTATTTATTATAATATTACAGTCAAGTCCTGCCTTCCCTTCTCTTAGCTATAGCTCAGAATCCACGATGCCGTCCACGTTAACCAACCAAGTGATGCCAAGGGCTGTCAATCATCGGCACTGATGCTCGTAGCTGCGCGTATGCTCAGTTGTTTGTTTTTGTGGAGCCTCCGAATCAAGCCTCTATTAGGCTCTGGAACTACATGAAAACTGAACAAAGAATTCTGAACATCTGCGTTGAGGTACTTATGTATATACTGAACCTATATCCATAATCAGATCCTCTGCAGATGTGTCCTATAATGTTCAATTCATGATAATAGCTTCTTCCGGGTTTGCCGCAATCGTTTTTTTGTGCATTAAAACATTATTTTTTTCAGGAAAAAGTTAAAACATAATTCTGAAAACCTCTGTGCATGTGTATTAATAATTTATAATGTGTTCTCTCATTAACATTTAAATGTGTTACGGAAACGTAGGTGTAGACCAATCAGAAAGGAAGGGGGAGGGAGCTTGCATCGTTTTTTTAAAATCAAGCACCTCTCTGTCTCTCTTTCTGACAAACTGCAGACAATCACTTTAATAAAAATCTGCCGTTTTAAAAATAGCCTCTTGTACACGTGAGGCTGTGGTATCAGAGACATGGTGCTGGTAAGTTCAGTCTGGTTTTCCCAGACTTTGCATGACACCACAAAAACAGAATGTAGAGTTTCCAGTCTCCAAACAGCTTGTGTCAAAGATGGCCATGGAAATATTTGTAACTTATGACCTGGCTTTATGTAGTCACTTAGAGTGAGAATGAATGCTAAAGGCTCAAAAGGTATTCTCATCTCTCTCAAGCTTTTTTCAGTTGAATCCCACTACTAGTTTGCAGAACTATATTTCTACCTTATATGTCCATGTTTCTTTATACTTTGTTTCTATATTAACTTAAAGAAAGGAAAAGAGCAAGAGTGAATGCAACAGGTGTAAATTCAAAGCTTTCCAAGTCATGCGCGTCTTCTGTAAACTCACACTACAGTACATGCTTTGCTTGGTGTAAAGTGGAGGTTAGGCGATTCTATATATAATGAAGACTAATCAATTCCATGCGATATAAGATAAGATAAGATAGACTTTATTGATCTCACATTGGAGAAATTTACATGTCACATTTGGCATAGATAGAATCACTCAGATATGTGTGTGTTCTGTCCAGACTTACCTGGTGACCGTTGTTCCGCCGACCGCGTCAGTCCTGTGTCCTGGAAGAACCGGTCAAAGCGCAGGCGGCAGCCGCAGAGCGCAGAGGGCTTTAGCGAGCCCGGCAACTGTGAGGCGGACATCGACAGTGACAGCGGCTACTGCAGTCCCAAACACACCCAGCAGGGTGCCGCACAGCGCACTACAGAGGCCGCTCTGGGAACTGCAGTGCAGGGAGTGGAGGCTGGTGTGATGACGGGTAAAGAATAATAATGTTTTATGTGAGATCTCAGTTACATTGTGCTTACATATACAAGAAAGGTAGTGTTTTTTTTAGACAATAGCTAAGTAGTGTGAACCATCCATACATTTTCTTCCGCTTTACCCGTTCTTGGTTCGCTGGGGTAGCAGTCTAAGCAGAGACGCCAAGCTCATTCTGAGGAGTTTTCAGGTCAGCCGAGAGACTTGGTTCCTCCTACATGTCCTGGGTCTTCTCCGGTCACTGGAACACCTCCCCAGTGTGAACCCTGGAGCAAAGAGCTATCAAAAACTAGCATGATAAAAGCGCACATTATTTTCTCTGTGAATATACATCTCATTGGTGGAGTTGTCACTGACCGTGGTATAATGCTGTGTGATTAGATGCAGCTTTCAAACAGAGATCTCATTGTCTGTGTGTCAAGATGTGCGTTAACAATATATCTTAGTGGAGAAAATGACCTTTTCTCAACTACATAGCATTAAAGTGGACTTGTCGTTCAAAATAATCCAGTTTCAGACCAAAATGCTACTCACAAGGCTATTTATTCTTCTAAACAAATACGATTATTTTTTTTTGATTGATTTCATAGCTCTTTAAAACCTTGAACTCTTCCTTGTTTTCGCAAAAATATTGACACAACATAACTTTTTGGGAAAGTGTCATTCACATTGCACATTAAATGTAAAGGCAAGGCAAGTTTATTCGCATAACACAGTTCATACACAAGACGAAAGTGCTGAACAAAACAAGATCGAAACAATCGCTCAAGGCATTAAAATGATAAATCACAGCTCATTAAAAAGAGTGAAGAGAGAATCCTTCAGTTGTATGCACAGCTAAATAGAACTGTTTTTAATTACAATTTGAACATTGTTAGAGTAGAAGCCTGTCTCACATTTTCAGGAAGCAGGATGCCATTCCCTTGGTTCATATGTCACTAACATGTCACAAATGTACATTGGTGCGAGGCCATGGAGAGATTCGAACACAAGCAGAAAAGACTTTAAAGCAGCTCCTTTTAAAGTCTTTTCTCTGTGCTCCAGGAAGCCAGTGCTGAGACCTGGGAACTGGACTTCTGTGATTGTGCTTCCACTTTGAGTTTCTTTGTTTATGAACTGTGCTATACTAATATAACGATTTGCCTTGTCCTGCCCAGACTGAGATTTGGGAAATAGAATAATATAGTACAAAATGGTGAACATTTATCAAAGAGCGCTGAGAATTTACTGAAAATGTGTTGAGATCCAATACTAGTTCAAACATTTGTTTAGTTTATTCACATCAAAGTTGTGAATTGAACTTTTCGAAACAAAGTGATCACTTTTGGATCAAGTAGGCAGTGTGTAATTTCTGCTAAAGTTAAAGAATGTGTGTCCTATGGTGTAAGCAAAACAATAATTTTATTTCATGATTATTGCCCTCATCCAGGTACAACAGCTACACGTTTTCATCTGATTTTTTTCTGTTGTACCTTCAGCCGGGACGTGGGGCCCTGGCGTGGCCTCCCAGGGAACACAGAAGTCTTGGGGCGACAGGAACGGGCCGTTTCTCCGAGTCGATCAAAGGAAACCCGAACAGAGGAACTTCTCACAGGTGCATGGCCTTAAATGATTGTGGTTGTTATTGCAGCAAAGCGGTGGTCTGGGAACTGTAGTGTCTCCACCCATTTCATCTCACATCAAGTCACATCAAGGCTTTAGGTTGAGACTGGACTCACTTGAGGAAATGTGATGTGGTGTGCTCCTGCTTTGTTGGAATGAAAACCTGGAGCCTCTTTGAGCTTTGAAGACAGGTTTGAAGTTTTGTTTGGCACTGTGTTGTTTGTTAAGTGCAAGAGAACCTTAGTTGTGGGAAATGTTTAATACACAAAGTGCTCAAAACGTCAATCACTTTTTGTAAATTGCGTGGCTTTCTGTGGGGGATTTGTGATTTGTTTGTTTGCTATTTTTTAATACTTTATTACTGTTAATATTTATGATTTAATTCTATTTATTTATAACAAGAGGTGAAAATAGTGTGGAAAAAGGATGAAAAATAAATACTTTGTTTCTTACTATGTTTATGTAACATGAAAAGTAAAATAATGAAAAAGTACACAATAATTATTGTGTAATAAAGCAAAGTAATAAAGTAATAAAACAAGATAAATATATGTAAAAATGTGAAACAATAGCTGAATAAGTAATGGGTAACTTATTCAACCTTCATTCCTTCGAGCTTTAGGGGCATGTTGCTTCTGAGTGCTCTATTAGTTCTATGCTTTTGTGCACACATGAATTCTGAAAATGTCCACCAGCTTTCTTCGTAATGTTGCCGTTTTTGTGTTCAGGATTTCCACAGTGGCTTTCCGCAGAGACCTGTACAGGCTGAGCAAAGGCTACAGTCTGCGGTGGCTGCAGGCTCGGAGCTTCACCCAGAGCCGCTCTTCTTCCAGGTGAGAAAAATGCATAGATTTTAACTTGAGGTGTCAGTCAATCTCTGTGAAATTTTAGTATCAAAAATTGACTCGGATTTGGAGGTGCTGATTTTTTCCAAATCCAACGCCATGGGGATTGACCAGAAAAATTTGTCTTGTCCTCTCTAGAAGCGGACGGCCTTCCTCAAGTGGAGGAGTTTAAGTATCTTGCGTTCCTGTTCACGTGTGAGGGAAGGATAGAACGTGAGGATAGAAAGAGTTTGAGTTCCCTCTCTCGCCTCTGGTCATGACCAAAAAGGATGAGGTTGCAGATATAAGCAGGAGGCCTGTCACTGTTCTCCTCAGAGTCCAAGTTGGTTAATTTGGCACTAGCATGTCAGTGATGTTCTAATGTGATCGTACTGTGTCTTATAAACCTGTGTCCCGGATTCTCTGACTTCTTGCAGCTTTCTCCCAATTATGCTCCTTATGCACAAATATCTACCATATTTTTTAGGATGAAGACGAGTTTCCAGATTTGCCGTCAGCAGGAGCCCCTCGTAGCACTAAACCAGACACTCCTTCAGCGCAGGCGCAGACCCCTCCCAAAGTCCTCCACACGGCCCTGGTGAGACCACCACACTCCATACTTGTGTACACAGGCCTGTAAAAGCAGCAGCGATCAAGTTTCTTTGTCTGTGGTGAGGGCAAAAAAAGAATTTCTGTTGTGCTTTGTCTTGTGAGATGCATTTACAACACTATATTGTTGAAGAAAATGTGCCATGTATATCAGTAAATTACTCAAATAACATAACAAAGACCTTAACAACGACCTTATTTGGTCTTAAAACATACAAAACCGGAGCAAAAAAAGGCAGAATAGACTTTTCTGTCTGGTCAGGAAAAAAATCACTATGATTTTGGGATATTTTTTCTTCATTTGGGTAAATTTGTAGATTTGTAAATGGGATAAGTGTCTTTTATCTTGTTGTCAGGCAGAAAAATGTATTATTTATTCTTGAACAAAAATGGTTGTGTGACCTTGGTCTTGGAAATACACTCCGTTCTTCACAGCTGGAGAACCTTCCAGAGAACTCTCCCATCAGCATCGTACAGACGCCGATCCCCATCACCACCTCTGTTCCCAAACGTGCCAAGAGCCAGAGGAAGAAAGCCCTGGCGGCAGCTCTGGCCACAGCTCAGGAGTACTCTGAGATCAGCATGGAGCAGAAGAAACTACAGGTGCGGCTCAGTGACGAAAATCCTGTCTAAGAATACACGTGCTAATGATCTGTGCTCCAGGAGTGAAGGGAAGAAAGTGTTCAGTGATGTTCTGGATGTGAGATATTGAACCAAAAATAAATGTCGCACTATGGCAAGGCAAGCTTGTTAGTACAGCACAGTTCATACACCGACCAACTTAAAGTGCTTAACAAACCAAGATACAATAAAAACATAAAAAGTCACACTACATAAAAAAAAATTGACGATGCAATCCTTCAGATGTAGCACAGCTGAACAGAAATGTTTAAACCTGGATTTTAACATTGTAAGAGGAAAAAGCCTATCTCACATTATCAGGAAGACTGCTCCAGATTTTAGCTGCATACATTACTTTCAGACACATTCTGCACTTTTTTATAACATTTTTAACATGCAATTTTGGACATGAGATTATAATTTCAAAACAGCAGATTAAAAATTATTATTGTCACAATACAATACATTTATTGATATGTTTTACATTATCAGGAGGTGAAGAAGGATTTTTACAGGACAAATGAAGGAACTATACCAGCAGAGCAGAGTAGGGCTGGTGGAAACAGGGCTTTAGATACTGAGCGCAGTATCCACTGTTTACAGCAGTGGAGCCTCTTTAAGTAATGATGGGGCTCAGTGGCTCAGTTTGAGACTGAAGGTTGTGGGTTTGATCCCACCACAAGACCTTGTCCACAGACTCCCGCTGATGTTGCAGGCTGCTGTTACAATATAATACAATTCATTTTTGTATAGCCCTAGGTCACAACATAAGTAATCTCAGAGGACTTAACAAAACCATTGAAATCACCAACACAGGTCAGAGAATCAACAGTTAAAACACATGAAAAATATAAAGCACACACAGAAGAAAATGTCCATACATGTTGTAGAATGCTAAAGTGTCCTGATCATCACCAATCCTTTCTGTTGGACTCTAACTGTCCAACAAGACCCTCCTGCATCGACAAGGAAAAACTCTTATAAAACCCAGTGGGAAAAAGTGAGAAACCTTGGGGAGAACTAGGGAAACCCACAGGGAGGGAGACCCATATGAGAAAGGGATCCGCTCCTCCGGACGGACAGGCTAATGATCTAGGACCTAAGCTAGCTACAGGACGTGGACCAGTGGCCGCTGAACGTGGACAGGTCCGGTGCACTCCCAGGCGGGTTGGGCGGGGCAGTCCGCAGGTGTAGATGGAGGAGGCCAGGCTCAGAGATCCCGTCATCGTACCATGAAACAGACGATGGGACAACGGGTGAATAGCAATGAACAAACTACAGTCAAAATCCTAATAATGCTAAACAGATGAAGTAGGAAGGAGGAGAGGATAGTGCTCAAGTTACCATACTCCTCCCAGCAAACTGACTCCCTATGCAGCTTGACTGACAGTCTGAGGAGTTTAGCCTTCCCTGAGTCTTACCTTCCTAGCCATATGCTAAACTAAAGAGGACTGTTTTAAACCTAGCCTTGAATAAAGAGAGAGTATCTGTTGTTGTGTCCTTGGGCAAGACCCTTAACCCAACTTTGCCTGAAGTCCTGACTCACCACCAGCAGGAGGCTCAGTGAGGGGCTGACGCTCTGTGAATTTGGTGCATCTCGGAATGCCACCCCCGACACAGAAATTGATTATTAAATGGAAGAAGACGAATGGATGAATTGATGGATACTGGGAACCTCAAGACATTTAAGAGTGTAGTTAAGTAATTGTAAGTATATTGAGCAAATTTTTCCCTTCCCTGTTTCTATAGGAGGCATTGACCAAAGCAACAGGAAAAAGGAGTAAAACTCCAAACCAGTTTGACTTGGACGAGATCCTGACAGCACTGGCCAAACATCAGGCCCTGCATCCTCGGCAAATAAACACAAAACCACCGTCCATTGCAGGTAACATCTTAATTTAAGTTCTGCAACAGAAATGTATTCAACAAGAAAAGCCTGTGCTGATTCTGTTTTTTGTTTTAGTGGGAAGTCTCCCTTATTGCATGGGCTTGGGTTTTGGGTCGGCCATATTGAAAACTCCACAGAACTCTGTCCCACACAATCCTCTGGACTCGACAGCACCGCGGGTCAAACGAGGGAAAGAACGAGAGATCCCGAAAGTGAAGAGACCCACGGCTCTGAAAAAGGTACGAGAGATTTAAATATCATGAATGCTACTGCCCTGACCTTCTCCATCAGTCACGGTTCAGTTGGTCCCTACACTAGGTTAGGATTTACTGTAGATGTTAGATATATTGAGGACTCATTTACCTTAAAGCCTTTGAGTGCAGTAATCAGATAGGTTTTATTACATACTGCCATTTATTTTGGTTTGATATTTCTGAATATGACTGTAATTTAGACTACAATTAGTATTTTGCATTATTAATTTCATTGGGGGTGAGCTGTGGTTTTATTCTGGAAGATAATGTGGTAAATTGGCAATCCGAGAGCAACAATGGCTCCTGTAAATGCATTTCCTGTGTTCTCACATTTTCATTCTCTCATCTGTGTTTGGTGAATCAACAACTTTGTAAAGTCCTCTGAAACAGCGGAATAAGGGTTAAACAAAAATGGATTGAATAGCATTGAGGTCCGAGAGGTCCACCTGGTTCAGTCTTGGCTGTGGTAGTTTTAGACTGTTTAGCAGAAAGGAATAATTGTCTAAATCTTTACGATACAATGTGTTGCACCTGCCTTTGCACAGTTTGTTTTATAAACATCTTGCTCAATCTTTCCTAGATCATTTTGAAGGAACGTGAGGGGAAGAAAGGAAAGAAATCGACAGAACCAGAATCCTCGAGCGTAGAGGAGCAAAGTGATGATTGTTTGAACTTTACAGACGACCTCACTCCAGAGCCGACATCACAAGAAGGTATTTTAATGTAACAGATAGGAAATGTATTTATTTTGAGCTTTTGGCTTGTCACACCAGTTTCTACTCTGACAATGTTCAAATCCATGTTGAAACGGCTTTGTTTAGCTGTGTATACAACTGAGGGATTGTATCTTCACTATGTACTGTGATTTTTTTAAATTTGAATACCTCATTTGAATGTTTCTTTTCTTGTTTTGTCACACACTTTAAGTTGCCATGTGTAAGAACTGTACTGTACAAAAAAACAGCCTTGCCTTGCCATTATTACAGTCCCTGCTGCCGAAGACAAAGATGGATGAATGGAAGTGCAGGGACTTGGCTTTACACAAAGTAGTGTCATTTGTTTCAATGACACTCAAAACATTTTTGTATTCTGTTGTTGCAGAGAATGGCTTGAGCGTCCCCAGTGACACGTCCCTGTCCCCGGCCAGTCAAAACTCTCCCTACAGCATCACGCCCGTTTCCCAGGGGTCCCCCGCCAGCTCGGGCATTGGCAGCCCCATGACCTCCAAAGACATCAAGATCCACAGTCGTAGATTCAGAGAGTGAGTTTCTCCCACACACAGAGCTGTAGAAACTCTGACTGAGAAGCCAGAACCGCACATTTTAAACATTAATTCGCAAATCCCTGAGGTTCTGGATCTCTGCTCTGAGCTGCTCATTCCTGAGGCGTGTTTGGTGGCATTTGATTGGGCGGCTAAAGAGTTGATCATCGAACCCAGGAAATGCAATAATGGCAAACACATAAGAGCCATCAGCGTTACCTGATCTGTGATCTGTGATTGGTTGAAACATATTCTGGTCAAGGTACAGGGAACAAATGTGACCGTTCTCAGATCTGACATGAGTGTCAGATAGAAGAAAGGCCTGGCTGGACCCCTTGTGGCTCCTCAATATGTATTTGGTAGTTACTTTGATTTTCACTTTCATAGAGTCATCCAGCCAACTTCAGCTCCACTAATATTGACATGCTATACCTCATTGTAGGGCTGGGCAATAAATCAAATTTAGGCAATTAATCGGCTTTTGAAATTGTGAGAGTTCCAGCAACACATGAATTATACTTGCAATATCAGAAAAGTCTGTACTAGACTTTTATAATACGTATTGGGGGAAACAAATTAGAAATAGTTTTGAAACTTGAATATTTAGCGTAAAGATCAAAACATATTTTTAAGGGCAAAGTTTGTCTTGAGTGACTTTAATGAAAATCAATTTAAAATCGAAATCGTCCAAAGGAGGAAATAAAATCAAGATTTAACTTTTTTGCCATATCGCCCAGCCCTACCTCATTGTAAAGTTCAGTTCCTTTGAAAACCAATTGTTAACATTAGTTGCATATACTGACATCTGTTTTTGATTGTGTCACAAAAATCCATATATGGTGCTAATGTAGCTGTGGTGAGAATCAATATGGAGATATCAAACCCCATTTTAGTCCAGTCAAAACACTCAAAAATCGAATCCCATTTTGTGGATAATTTACATCAGCACTTACGAGTTTTTTGTGGCTAATGGTGGAAAACGAATTATAATGTTGGTCTAAAATGTCTTTAGACCAATGTTGTGACTTAAACTGTGCACCATGATAAGTGATGCTCCACAGCTGTCATAAATGGGATCTCTACAGACTCCAATAGTGTAATATGACTTGAAGAGTTTTGTACAATGCAGACTCAAAGAACAGGACGACAACCGGAGCTGAAGTGTTCCGCGGTGCACACACAGCTCTTTGTCCGGTCGGGTTGGGACGTGGGTCTATTGTTCTCCAAAGCCTTTGTCTAAGCCCCGCCTTCTGTCTGACCACTCGGGCTGTTCCTCACACCACGCCACGTCGCGCGGCTGAGTCCTCCAGCCCCACAGCACAGATCCACTGTTTTCAATATTATTATAGTGTCAACAAAGTGCTGACATGGCAGAAGATCACAGCGGCAGATTGTCCATTTCAGTTTTCATCTAGATGCCTGGGAAACAGATGCTTGTTGAATCACACATGAATTGAAAGATAAAAATAAAATAAAATGTATAGAGAGGGTCTTCTGATGGCCGTATAATCTGAGGATTGTCAGAAGAATGGATTATTTCCTTTTTTACCATGTTGAGCAAAGTTTCCTGTTACTCTGTCTCTGTCTGTCTGATTGTTGAGTTGTGTGAGGGGTTGGAGCCAAATAAACTTTTATTCATCCAACCTATTTGTTTTTCAAACGCTAATTTGTTTATTTTGTTTAGTGTTTATAGTTTCATTTTTCATACGACTACAACTACTAGAAAATTCTGTGTCTGCTCCTGGGGAACGGCTTTTAAAGAGATGCATAGAAAGAGACTTTCTAAAAAATAAAAAATAAAAACTTTTAGAAACTTAGAGACTTGAAGCTTGGCTAACACAACTTACACAAGGCAAGAATTGAAACTAAAGAGGAGCTTCTTCCCCAGCTTTTATTAAAATACATACATTAAAATGCATAGATATTGTCTTGTATTTTTTTGACTGCTTGAAAACAAACTAAGGACAGCAATTTTATTTATTGTGTTATTAACATCTATCTAAAAGGCATTGTTATGTGTACCTTATTAAAAAAATAAATGTTAATATAAATATTATATTCTCCATGTTTTAGGTACTGTAATCAAGTGTTGAGCAAAGATATCGACGAGAGCGTCACAATGCTGCTACAGGAGCTGGTGCACTTCCAGGAGCGCGTCTACCAGAAGGACCCGACCAGGGCCAAGTCCAAGCGGAGAGTTGTGATGGGGCTGCGCGAGGTCACGAAGCACATGAAGCACATGAAGATCAAATGTGTGATCATTTCTCCAAACTGTGAAAAGATTCAGGCCAAAGGTGGTCTGGACGAGGCGCTGTACAACGTCATCGCCATGGCGCGGGAGCAGGAGATCCCCTTTGTGTTTGCTCTGGGCAGGAAGGCTCTGGGCCGCTGCGTCAACAAACTGGTGGCCGTCAGCGTTGTCGGCATCTTCAACTATTCAGGAGCAGAGGTACGACTGGTTAAAGCTGCTCTACCCAACTTTCAAACCTCAAATCATTTTGAACCACTGTATGTATTTTTAGTAACGGTAATTTAACTAGTTCCTCACTCTCAAAACAGTTTGGTTCTATCACTAGTTATATTACACCTGCACTCAGCCAATCAGCTCTGCACCAAAGACCCATTTAGTGACTATTTCAAGTATAAATGAATGAGTAAAGTCAAAGATCTGGTGACAACAGCTGATAAGAGACACGTTACAGCATCACATGTCTCCTCAGGGCGGTTTACCTCCGACTTTCAACTCGGACTTTCAAATCACTGCTCAAAACACTTCTATTCAAAACTGTCTACACGCTGTTCACTTTAGCTTGCTTTAAATTTGTTTTATTTATTATTAACCTGTCCTCCTGTAAAGCATCTTTGAGTGCCTAAAACTATTATTACTAAGTACAAAACATTATTATTATTATTATTATTAATGATAATTATTTTTATCATTAATAATTAACAGAAATAATTAGCTTTTCAGTTTTCTTTGGATTTGTGAGCAAACAGTTGACCCTTCTAAATGATGAGTGACTGAATGGCTTCAAACTTGTCCAGGCCCTGTTCAACCAGCTGGTGGCGCTCACGGAGGAGGCAAGGAAAGCCTACAAAGACATGGTGTCGGCCCTGGAGCAGGAGAAGGCGGAGGAGGCCTTCAAGCAGGAGCGCGGGGAGAAGAGAGGACCAGGACACTCCCGAAACCCGTCCGCTACCTCCGCAATCTCGTTCAGCTCCAACTTCTCCGAGCCCATCTCCGAGGTCAACGAGAAGGAGTATGGTAAGGCTTTCAGCATTCAAGAAACATACACATTGGAATTGTTTTGCAGGGCTCTCATAGTTCAAGCTAAATATATATATATATAATTATGTAGATTTAAAAAGTCAAACAAATGTGGAACCATGTTTTAAACCTATCTACAACTTCCTCCTTGACCTCTTTGGTGTGCGCTTTGGACTTCATGACGCTGTTTAGTGACAATAAACGGCCCTGAAGTGTGACTGTGTTACAACGGAAACAAATTAGCTCATGGCTACAATCCGGAGAGGTGTGTTCATTAACATGCACTGTCCCAACCAAATAAACAATAAATATATAATTATACTTGAAGTAAATTATTATTAGCAAGGTAACCTTTCTGTGCGATCAACTTCCCTCATCACCACCAACCATTCACGCACACACACACTCATTTTAAGTAATGTGAACCACAATGTGGCAGCTGGTGTTCCCAGAGGTCTCCCATCACAGTACTAACCAGGCCCTGCCCTTCTTAGCTTTTGAGGTCTGAATTAGGCTGTGGTCACAAGCACAACCTAAAGCCCAGTTAAAGTGGGCCTAGACCCACATCCTGATTGGATCCCGGCTTTAGGTTCCATGTGACCACGGAACTGGACTTGGGCACGGTTGTAAAGCCCAGAGGAAGGGGGTCAATGTGGCGGGTGGTGTGGGGTGAGGTGTGGACATGATATTGGGCGTCACATTAAGTCTTCCTTCTGCGCCCGCTGTAACTCGGGCTGTAGAACAAGGACTGAGGAGGGTCCCAAACAGGGGCTGGGGCTGGGGGAGACCAGTCCACTGGTGCACATAAGAGGCTGGATTCAGGGGTCCCATCATCACGCTTGAAACAGACAATGAGACAGCGGGTGGATAGCAATGAACAGAATGTTGTTATGTCACATCATTTACTGTGTTCTTCTCTCAAACATGTGATGTGTTTTCCATTTCAGAACCAAACTGGCGGCTGATTGTGGAGCCCTCCGACAACCTGGAGTCCGCTGACCTGGAGCCGGTACGGCCTTCGCCTGTCGCCGCGCCGCATAAAGAGCCCCAGGACGCACAAACCAGTAGCCCCTCTGTGCCCCCCCCACACTCCACACAGACCCCCACAGACAAAGAAGAGGTAATTTATTTCACAGTAATTTATTTGTTTTTTTATGAACGATGTTGGTTAAAACAGGTTTAACACACTGCAAAGGCTGTTAAAATCTTTCAATTTGGGGCAGGCTTCTGTTTCTCCAACTAGAATTTTTCAGTGTTTTCAGTGGAAGCTCAACGTTTAGTGGCGTTTCCATGGCAGCGAGTAGTTTAACAGCGTTTTCAGTGGCAGTGCAGCAGCTCCCAACATGGTCTCAAACTCACACAGACTCCTCTCTGTGTCCAGGTGCGGGTGGACGATCGCCTGGAGCTGGCCTCTCAGCAGAGCACAGAAACGGGGTCTCTGGATGGCAGCTGCAGGGGCCCTCTGAACTCCTCCATCACCTCCACCACGTCCACGCTGGTGCCCGGGATGCTGGAGGAGGCTGAGGAGGAGGAGGAAGAGGAGGAAGACTACATCCCAGCACCCATCACTGTGGGAGTCCCTTCGCCCTCCCACCGCATCGAGATCTGGCTCCAGGAAAACCTAAAGCTGGGGAAGAGCCACGACAGCACCGAGGAAGAGGAGGAGGAGGAGGAAAAAGACGATGAGGAGGAGGAGGAGGAGGAGGAGGAGGAGGAGCAGAGTGATGAAGAGGATTTGGACTCTGCCGAAGTCTCAGAGAAGAACCCAATCAAGCAAGAGACAATGGGCTGAGGCGTCACGGTCCACATGAACACACGGCTATTGCACATCGCACACCATAAAACATGATATCGACCTTAAAGCTGGGGTACCTGACTTTCAAAGCAAAAAAATCAACTTTGTGAAAATAATATCCGTCTGCCTCGTCCCTTGCTCTCAAAGCAGTTAGTTTTGACATGCATGTGTTTTTTGCCTCTGTCCCATCTTTAGATTGGCTTCTTCAGACAGTTAGGACCAGATCAGAAAGGACTCAGCCCAAAGAGCCATTTAGTGACTCACAGGGATCTTTCTTACAAGTACGCAAAAGAGAACATATTTTCTAATGAGATTGAAGACGGCATGGTGTGATCTGATGTGTTCACAAAATATTTCTGTTGAGACGAACAGAAATATTTTATCCATACATATTACATACAATGGAATATGTATGGATAAAAAAGTAGATACCCCAGCTTTATTAAGCGTTTGTACTAAAAAAAAAATATGGATTTTTAAATATATTTTGCTGCCATGAAATAGGAGAAGGACAGACCGGTTCTTACTTGAACAGAGAGAGCGTGAGTGAACAGCAGCAGTTCTTATTTCGTCGCAGTCAAAGCTTAGTTCTCACATTTATTACCAGGGTTAGGGTTGCTTGTCTCCAGTACCTGTACTGTAATTTTCCCTAGTACGATAAAACTGGCATCAAGTTACAAGTTTCTTCTCTGGAATAATGACAATCTTTAGGCGTGGAATTAAGAATGTGCTAAAAATGAGTGCATCTTGGTTCGGTCAGTAAATTCACAAAAAATACCTTATTTTATCCTTCGCCCTTCCATCTCCTTTGTATCGAGCTTTGTGGCTAAAATTGGCTCGTGTGTCTCTCTCTGCTCTCTCTTTCTGGTCTCTGGTCTTCTATAATCTGTTAGCTCCAGGTTTAATCAAGATAAGTTAACTCATAGCATAAGAGGATACACAGGGGGAAGCACAGGGAAAGGAGGAGGAAGGAGGTATTTTTGCCACATGACCCATAGGCGCCTTGAAAAAAAGTGCTTTGAATCGTCCACAGATCTTACCTGTAACTTGTATCTGCTTTGCACAACGCCAAGTGATCATTTTAAATCCAGAACATGGAACTTCTTCCCAGGCAAAACAAAACTATTGTGGAGATAAGCAGGTAGTGTACTCCTCATCAGTAAATTCACCTTTTCAGCTTGACTGGTGTCTCAAAGTGCTGTACAGACCGGCCTAAAGTGCTGTACAGACCTGACCACCAGCCCTGAAGTCACGCAGACTGTATGTGGAAATATACGGAATGAACGCGTCGACTTTGAAACTTAGATTTATTTAGCGCTGCTTTGTAATGTCTTGCAAAAGTCTCTGTTTACTCCTAAGTCTTACTAGCGATAACACAAAACGCGCTGTTGAAAAAAATGACTTTTGTTTGCACTTTCGTTTGCGTACAATCCCATTTACCACAGAGCCGTGCGTTCATGTGGACCCTGCCTCCCTCTCATTGGAACCAGCAACATTTCCTCCTCCCTCAGCCAAACTCAGGTACCACAGCCTCCGAACCGCCACCAGTTCAAGATCCACCACCTGCAAAAACCCACTCCACGCTTATGTCATCTCTGAAGTGAAGCTGAGATCCAAAACTGGCTTCTTGTTTAGGAAGATAACGGTAAAAGCAAGGGTATGTCCATAATAGAATGAAACGAGTAAAGTATGCAAGCTTTTCAACATGTATTTTTAATCCAAATGTGATTTTTGTTGTAAATTAGTTTGTTTTGTCAACGTTTTGCAGCCCGACACAGACCGCAGACAAGAGGCCAGTTTTGCGTCTCTGCTCCAGGAGAAACGAGGCCTGGGATATTTGAATCTGGAGCTTTTTCCGCACTGACCTCGAACTCTACGTTAAGCAGTAATATGTTTCAGACGTGGAAAGTGTTGGGGATCTTTGGAACGACCTGTGTGATCCAGAGGAGAGTTTGAGGAGGACTGGACTGGCCGTTTACAGCTCCGCAATCACCGCAGGCGCTTAGTTTCTTGCATTTTTTAATTTTTTTTTGCTGTGATTAATAGCTTTATATTGTACATAATACGTGTTTGTGCGTGTTGATTTCTGACGTCATGAAGGAATGTTAAGTTTAACCAAATCGATTAAAGATATACAGAGGAAGTAAGTGTATAAAAATGGACAGAGTGACGCGCAAATCCTGCCACCAACACGGCTTTTATTAATCTGACCACGACCAACCATTCACACCGGACTCATTTTAGGCAATGTGGGTGAAGTGTCTTGCCTAAGGACACAACAAAAGTTTGGCACTTGACACTCGCAGCCGCCCTACTGTGGCTCCTGGTCTCTCAGAGGTCTCTCATCACAGCACTAACCAGGCTTAGCTTCAGAGGTCTGACAGGATATGGCTTTCACCTGCAGGTGGCGCCACAGTTTAGAAACAGAATTTATTTTTGAACTTTAGTCGGTTTAACCCAGATTACATAAATAACATTTATAGGTGCATAGCCCGTACGACCTACAAAGTTGATCTACTCCTCAAACACTGATCAGAGAGTCAAACCATTCGAACATAAGAAATGTATATACAACAAATACAAAGAAGCCATTGGTCCATAGGGAGCGGGATGACCACTGTCCGTAAATGTTAATAAACCTAATTTTTTGTGAACTTGCTTTTCCTTACACTTGTTAAATGAGAAATGTAAAGAAAAAAAAAAAGAAAAAACCAATGCCTATATTGTACACGTCACAGACTTCAATGAACTTCAGCCCAAATTGCTTTACAAAACTGAAGAAATCACAAACTGGAAAACTGGGCGACTGTTGGAGCTCCCTGTTCGTTTGCGTGTTCTTTCTCTGTCTTATTTTTATTGAGTCTTTGGTCCATTTTGGGTCAGAAGTCAGAGCTGTTTGTCACAAAACCACTATCTGTCTCGTCCTGGGGGTGTTTTTGAACTTGATCTGTTTAAGGAGCAGAACAAGCGTGTGTAAATACAGAGTGAAACCACCTGTTCTTATGGATCCTGTTCAAAGCATTCACACTTTATTGATCGTTGTGCTTGTTTTTAAAATGTGTTATTTTCTCTTGGACGTGTCAGTCACTCCCAACACATTCTACCATTGTTTACGATCTACTACACGGCAAAATTAGGGTAATGTCTGTTTGATATACGCAAAGTGTTATCTTAAAACTGGATTATTGCTCAAGGTGGAACTTTTCATTTAATACCACAGTTTTATTGTTTCAAAAGATTCCTGGATCCAGGAAGTCATTCTTGATTTTGCCAAATCCACCAATGTCGCAAACAATCCCTGACAAATGCTCTCAGCCCAAAGCGTCAAATAGTGACTCACAGGGCTCCTTTTACAAGTTTGCAAAGGATAAAATTGCAAGAGATGAAATTGCATGTTGCCTAATCTGTTGCAACATGTTGTTTTTAAAATGGTCTTTCTCTGGGGATAAAAACATGAAACAAAACCGTAAGTTACCCAGCTTTAATGAGAGTTTGACTAACTTAAAATTTGGCTTTCGAATTGACCAGTGTAACCCTATTTGAGGTACATTCAAATATATATTTTCAATTTTAGGTGAAAAATCTATTTTGCATGTGCTTGTTCTATTGACAACCCCTATTTTAAGGAATTCATCAGACCTGTAAAAATCTAGAAAATAAGGGTGGTCTAGTGACTTAATATTAATATGTAACAAAAACAAATGACATTAGTTGTTTCCAAGCAGCGTTTCAGAAGTCACTGATGAAAGACCGGTCTCCTAAGTCTCTAACAGTATAACATTGTAAATAAAAGAGATGTAAACAAGTAGAGTTTGATGTCTTAAAACAAACACAATCACTGTTTTAAAGCCATTTGGTAGTTTTTAACATAAGTTAGAATTCCATTGAATAAAGGCATTTGCTGGTGTCTTATGGGTAGGCGTATATGCAGTAGAGAGGCTGCTGTATCTGGAAGATACACGTCTCTTTCACCTCCATAAAGTGTTGAATATGCTTTTGCACTATGTGCATACACTCCTGTGTAGGTCTTGTTGTAACTAATGTGAAAAAAACAAAAAAAGAGGTTAATTGAAGTAATTTTCCAGCGTGTTTCTTGTCTTTGTATGAATATTTATAACCGTCTTACAAACTCTACATCACCTGCAACATTGTAAGAGTCTTTTTCTTCATAATCTTGTATTCACTCTGACCGATGACTAATAAGCTCATTAAAATGTTGTTTTAAAGAAACTCTGCATTTTTGTTTAGCGACCTGCAGGGGGAGACATATCTCCATTCAGAGGCTGAAAGTGACTTGGACATGTAGTGATCCTGATACCAAGACCACCAAACCAAAAGATATGATCCAGATACCAAGACCATCAAACCAAAAGATATGATCCAGATACCAAGACCATCAAACCAAAAGACACTTTTCTGAAGACCATTAAAATGTACAAATGATTCCAGTGTTGCAATGGACTGTCCACTAACAGTTAATCGTGCAAAATACATATTAATGACTAATATACAAATAATCCTATTATAATTAGACAGGAGAAGATCCTTTCACCTGAGTTTATCATTATCTCTGTAGACTAGAAGAGTTTAGCACTCAGCGCTGCAGTCAGGTTTGTAGACGCTCCACATTATTCTCTCACTCAGAATGTTGATAAACTGGTCATGTATCCACAGCTGCTTTGGCTACTTTATCATGTAATGTACTTGATACTTTATAGTATCAAGTACATAAGATAAAAGGGAATCGGGGCATCTTTATAAGATAATATAAAAACTGTATTGATGAGAAATGTACATGTTACACATTTGGCCTCAAGATCATCTGGGGGGGGTGCAAATGGTCAGGAGATGTGCAAACAGGTGAATAAGGTGTCTTATGTATAATTATATACCGTAATGTATCAAATCTACAAGAGGTGTGGGGGGTAGAAGACCTCAGAGTCATTGACTACATTATATTTTCAAATGTGTTTATTTTTATGTCCCTCCATTTTCGAATTGTTTTCTAATTCTATCCACATTATCCTATTTCTTGAGACACTCACAAAATCCTTTCCTTTAATGTACCTTTAGTTCAAAAAGAGGCAGGTTGGAGATATTTAAAGCCCCTAAAGACTGGGATAATCAGCCGGCACCTTTGGGGACAATAACATGGACACTTCAGATCATCACTTCACACCCGTCTGGAAACTACTTGTTCATGCTTTTAATTTTTGTTCCAAAATAAACTTTAATGGATGTACTCTGTACATGACGGTGGTGAGTGCGAGAGAGGACTAAGCTTCACTGTTCAGTCTTATTGGATCTGTTTTGTTATGTTCTGTATACTATTGTTTTTTAAGTGAAAACATTATTGTTTGTTCTTTATGTTTTGTGGTCCCTCTCTCAAACGAGATGCTTCATCTCAAGGGGCTTTCCATGAATACATTGAATTGTATTCATGGAAATACATTGAACCACCCTCAATCAGACAAATAATCTTGATCTCAACTAACCCAAACATTCCCAAAGACATGGTTTTCATCTAAACCATCTTTTTAAACATTAAAACAGTCATTTGCCCCGATATCTCCCATCCTAGCACTGACCAAGTCTTGCCCTGCATAGCTTCGGAGATCAGGCTATCACATGTAGGAATGACAATGGCCACAATATTCAAAAAGTAAGAATTTCCAACAAGGACTGTGCACTTGTAATGTGACAAATGAACAAGAATAGGCACAAATAATCTGTGATTCAGATTCAGATTTGATTTATTCAGACATTTTAACATTCACTGTATATTCTTTTATGGAATATCTTCTCCAGTGTCTTAGAAAACAGAATTAAAAAAGGTCTATATGTATAGACTTATAGTATAAATGATTGCACATTCTACTGCATGTATGTATGTATTGTACTTGTATTGCACATGTCAGTGTTCTTTGTGCAGTCGCATGACAACAGTAGACTGTATTTCACTTATTTTCTCAGTATGTTCTCGGCGTTGCAAGGTTCTCTCCTGCTCTCCCACCACCACTACACCACTCACAGCATGACTCACCCTGCTCTCCTGTGGTTGGTCCATAGTTCCCCGAGAGGAGGGGTCTGTGAGGGGGTACACGTTCATCCATTCATGCTCCGATCTGCGCACTCCGTCATCACACCGCACAAAGGAGGAGGAGGCGGCCAAACCCTCATTCATAAACCATGGGGAGAGTTCATTCATATATATGCACACACATACACATACACATACACACACACACACGCACATGCAGGAGCCCAGCAACAGACGCCCGGCAGAAGAGAAAGACCTCATGGGACAAAAGTTGGAGGTAGTGGTGGACTATAGCAGGATAAGGACGACTCCGATTTAACTTGGACTGCATTGGTGAGTACTGCTCTTAGAGCTATTGTGTATGTATGACCAAATAATGACTTCTTCACCAAACCAAGATGCATGTTTTGTATTTCCTCTCTAGCTTTGGCTCGGCCCTTCTCTATCAGAGCATGAGACAAGAGAGCAGGTTTAAATCTCCAACTACACTTTTCCCAGGTACGTAACCTTTTTACAGAGGATTTGTTGTCTTTAACCATTTGACAAACTAGAAAATTGAGGGAATTCAAAGATTTTTCTTTGCATTGTCAACATGAAGACTGGACTTTTGTATTTTAGCATAATTTATAACAATAGCTTGAGAAGGCAGACATATTTTATTACAGACAGTATGCTGGGAGTAATTCAATTAAATGTATCTGTGTATTGTGTATAGCCCTAAATCACAACATCGAGGAGAACTTTACAAAGGTATTTATTCACCAAACACAGATCGGAGAATCAAACACAACAAACACAGAGGAGCCATTGGGACATAGGGTGCGGGATGACCACTGTTCATAAATGCTAAAACATGTCCTTAAATGTCCCAGATCACCACTGGGTTTAGACCTCCCACAACAGCTAGGAACCTCAGGGAGAAACCCAGATCCCATCAGACCTCTGAAGCTTAGCAGGGTAGGGCCTGGTTAGTATTGTGATGGGAGACCAGATACCTAAGGCAGCTATGGCTGTAATCATTATTTTAAAAAGATGTGGTTCTTGTCCCAGGCATGCTGAAACGCACCAAATACAGCCGCCTCCGGAACGATTCTGTTACATCTTTGGAGGAGCGCCCGGTCTCCGTGCTGCCCCTGAAGAGGAGCCTGTGTCTACACTTCAGCCCCCAGCCGCCTGCCCCTTCCACGCTCGGAGACTTCATGGCCAACATCCGCATCCAGAGCCCCCTACGGGATCGGACCGTGCCCCCACAGGCCTCCTCGGCCCCGGGACAGGGCGAGAGGGCGGGGCAGAGGCTGTTCAGTCAGGCCTCTCTGGATATGGGAGCGCTGAGGTGCACCAGACGACCCATCACTCTGCAGCGTGTGGCCAGTCTGCCCTGGACCACCTGTGACCACCTGCCACAGGGCGACTGCGGCTGCGACAGTGGCGAGAAGGCGGGAGTGAAGACTGCCGTACATCATGATATTAAGGTATGATTGAGTTTCACAACATGAACAACAAACAGACAGACAGCAGACAACCTGGGCTCAAGAAATGATGAATAAAACTAAATATGTATCCACAGAAGAGTGGGTTTCCATTTCCTTAAAAACTGACTCAGAGATTGAGAGACAAACATTTATATCACCATGTGGCCTCCCTGAGGTTTCCCAGTGTTATTTTTTCCGTTCCTTGCCGCTGCAGGAGGGTCTAAGATCAATAATGATCCAGGACATTTAACTACATTTATACACATTTCTGAAAAGTGGGCATCTATGTTTGTTATTTTTGTGTTTCCTGTGTTTGCACGGTTTGATTCTCTAATCTGTTGTTGAGGAATCAACACATTTATAAAGTCCTCAGAGATATCTGCTGTTGTGATTTAGGGCTATACACAAATACATTGTAAGAAAGTAAGTCATCTTTATTTATATAGCACCTTTCACAGACCAGAGTCACAAAGCACCTCGTGGGCATTTGTCTCCCTCTCCACACAGAGGGCAGCAAGGTCGCATACCTGGCACATGCCAAACCTACAAACATGGGGATAACATGCAATCTCCACTCAGAAAGGCCCTGTTCCAACTGGGATTTGAACCCAGGACCTTCTTGCTGAAAAGCAAGAGTGCTATCCACTCAGCCACTGTGCCGCTCAAGTACTGAATAGTCTTTCCATAATCTTGTCATCCATTTAAAAAATTATGAAATGGCGCTCTGTGAGTTGTTCAAAGCTTCTTTAAACATTAACAATTTCCAGCGATGTAATACAAAAAGAAAAGTCTTATTCATGATTAAGGATTATTCAGCTTTCTCGAATGCAGATCGATAAAAGTACAATCTTTTTATGTGTGAAGCCTTGTGCTTTTCTGACACATCGATTCAGTCCCGCTGCAGAACTGCTCTGGTCCTGGTTCAGTCCAAGTTCAGTCCTGCTTTATTCCTGGTTCAGTCTTGAATCAGTCCTGCTTAGTTCCTGCTTTGGTTCTGGTTTAGTTCTGGTTCAGTCCAGGTTCAGTCCTGCTTCGGTCCTAGGTTCAGTCCTTGCACACACACTCTATCTTGTTTGCAGATCAACATGACACAATGCCACATCCCTGTACATATCTATAGATTATTCGATGTGAATGCAAAAGAATATATTGTTTCGATGTCGTCTCTGCCCAGGATCATCGAACCGTGTGCAATCATTCCTTCAGGCCACCGGCTGTGTGTGTGTGTGTGTGTGAGTGTGTGTGTGTGCGTGTGCGTCCATTGATAAATCTGTAGTTGAATCAATATTGTTGTTGATGCAGCTCTGTGTGTCTGTGTGTGTGTTTTTACAACCTCCTCGGTGTCCACGAGCTTGAGTCAGATCTGTCAGAACACTCCGGATATAAACAGAATGAATTCACACCAGCAGAGAGAGGATGAGTCACCGCCGCCCACACAGGAAGAGAAGGAGCAGGTGCACTGTTTTTGAACCCTGCAGAAGAGACTTTGGTATTAGTCATAACATACATTATCACTGATTATAACTGCACTCAAGCACCACGGCTGTCAGTGGCTCATAGTCAAATAACACGTCCATAATAAAAGCATTGTATTTGAGAATATGCCGTAATTATCTAAATCAGTGTTCCCCTTTTGAATGGCTGCATGGCGAGTGTGTCTCAAAACAACTTGGCTAAATGTGATTATAGGCTGTTTGTGCCGGTCGTGGAGCTATTTTTATCTTTAATGACTAATAATTCCAATAGACATCGTGTTCAGAAGAGTAGAACAGAGCAGCCTCGGCTCACCTTTTCTTCGTGTGTGCTGGTATCATGCAGCAGGCTGAACAGGGATTCCCAGAATTCCCCCTCCCCAGACATCGAGAGGCGTTCTGAGACATAGTCCAGTGTGTTCTGAAGATGAAAAGCCTTGAGAGAGTGAAGAAAAAGTACCTGGATGTTCATCTGAAACAAACTACAAGCTGCTCTGTTTCCACAAGACCTTCTCTCTTCCAAATATGATAATAATAATATTGATGATAATAATAATTTTATGGGGCGACAGTAGAGCATTGACGTTTATTGTGTTTGAGACGTTTGAACCACAAGGCTTTCTCCACCGACTCCCTCTGATGTAGGCTGTCGTTGTGTCCTTGGGCAAGACACTTAACCTCTAACACTAGATGCCACAGTGGGGCGGCTGTAAAGTGTCACAAGTCTGGTGTGTGTGAATGGTTGGTGGTGGTCGGTGCCTTGAGGCACACTGACAGAAGCGAGGCCATCAGCCCCTCTGACAACCACCAACCATTCTTTTTGCTAATGTATTCCAATGTGTTTTTTTACTGCAAATGGCAAATAAACTGAATCTGAATCTGAATCATTCACTCACAAACCACTCATTCTAGACAATGTGGGTGAAGTGTCTTACCTGAGGACCCAACGACAGTTTGGCACTGTTTTCACCAGCCCTGCTCTACTCGGCTCTACACTGCCCTGATCCCTGATTCGGATCTCTCAGCCCTATTTCACTGATTGAGGTCCTTCTTTAGTCCCTCCTGGCCCTGGTTGGCCCTGGTTCTATCCAGGCTGAAGCTGGTACTGAAGTGTTCTAACGGCCAGTGATTGGCTAAGCGCTGCTGGAAGCCATGGTTACCAAGGCATTTTCACAGATACTGGTTTGTTGGGGGTAGGTTGCTAGGATATGGTGGCAGTGTAATGGAAACATAACCAGGTAGAGTAGAGCCGAGTACAGGCGAGTAGAGCCACTCATTTCATCCATCTGTATCTACAATTTGGCTCTTCTCTCAGGACCCAGTTCAGGAGCAAAGGTCAGAATCACCCAAAAGCACTACAAAGCCGCACCAAGCAAACATTAAGTTATTTTCGAATCAACAAATCAAGAGTCACATGTGTATCGCGGGTGAAGAGGGCGACACAGTGCAGGTTTCCTCTGGGTTTCTGCGGATCATACTGTATGTTCGGTCCTTATTCACTTTTTTATTGCAAATGTATGGACTGAATTAATGAATGAATGAATGTTAGTTTGCAGTTCAAACTGAGCCACATTCATCCTTGAATGTTTGATTTTAGTGGAAATATCCACTAAAATCATGACATTTCCAGACTATGTTGTCTGCCAATGCAAAGCGCACCATCAGCAAACAAGCGATGGATCGCCTCCTCAGAGTCCAAACGGGTTCATATGGCACTAACATGTCACTGATGTATTTTGATGTGAGGCCAGGAGAGACTTGTAACAAACAGAGCTGCTTTAAAGTCTATTCTCTGAGCCACAGGAGCCAGTGCAGAGACCTGAGAACTGGAATCATGTAATGGTTCTGCTTAATTCTAGACAGGACTGTAGCTGCAGGTTTTTTAAATACACTGTATTTTCAGACGATTGTTAAATGTGTCTCTCTCTCTCTGTTCCAGTACATGGGCAGCGTGGAGGTGACTCAGTCCATGAGGACCCTGGACTTCGCGACTCGGATGCAAGTCACACGGTACTGCTTTCTCTAACCCCCTTTCACACTCTCCAAATCAACGCACTGAACGAGTTAAAAAGCCCCGAGCCCGTCTTTCTAAGTGCCAAATTAGACATGCGACGCTTATTTGAGACGTTTAAAGGGGAAATTGGATTAAAGTGATATCTAGTAACAGGGTTTTTTGTCTGACCATTTCATACGGACAGAGAGCAGTGGCCGGCTCTGGAGCGGCGGACACTGTGGACTGTGTTTTCTGCTCTGGGGCAGAATCCTGCTCAACAAAATCCAATTACATGAATTTCCTGCTATAATGATCTCCCCGGCTCTGATTGGAGTCTGCAGGCCAGTACACTGTGTACGGCTCATAGGAAAAAGGCCAGTTTCTCAGAATGAAGAGATGGCTTTGTAGATATTCGCTTGTTTTGGCCACTTTTGACCCTCCTGACTGCTGCAACACACAGGGCTAATGTCACAGGATAACACTGTACACAATGTTTATCTATTTACACACAAAATGATAAACTATGACTGTGAAAAAGAAGAATAGAAAGTGAATGTGACAACTAGACAAACAGCAGCAGGCACATGGCAAAGCAAGTTTATTTGTATTGCACCATTCATACACAAGGCAACTCAGAGTGCTCAACAAAACAGGGTAGAAATAGTCACACAAGACATTCAAATTCTAAATTGCACATAAAACGAGTGAAGATACATTGAAGGCTGTCAGGGTAGATTTTCTGGAAGACTGCTCAAAATTTTAGATGCATGAACTCGAGTCTACCCTGATTGGGAGCATTTCCACAGGCTCTGTTTAGCACTTTTTGGCTTCTTTACTAACTCAAAACTTTTACCGTGGCTTTGGATAGAGCTCAGTGAGGTGGTTGCTATGACACCCTCTCTACCGTTTGGTTAAATATTTTGGTTAGCTTCGGTCAGCTGGTATTTGTGAGCATCTTTCCATTGGTGTCTCTCTGGAAAGTTTCCTAAAAAAAATTATGATTCATTGGTGTCTAAGCTATTTTACATAACTCAAGTTTTGTATTCAGGTCCAATTCCTGCACAGAGAGAACTGTGTTTTGCACAATCTCTGCTCAAACAAGTAGAACTGTGGCCAAACCGTTTCAAAAGGCAAGGCGGTTTTATTTGTATAGCACAGTTTGTACACATGACAACTCAAAGTGCAAAAAAGGCATTAAAGGAGCAGTATGTGAAAATCTTGCCAAAAGTGATACTGCAACTGACTGAGTTCTGGCTACCCGGATCACACACTTTCTGATACGGTGGAGGGCGGGACATCACAGGATTTACGGGCTGTAAATCCAAATATCTCGGCTGAACAACTGTTTTCAGTGAAAGAAATGCCTTTTGACAGATTAGGGACATTTAATGATGACTTGACATGAAAATCTTACAAATTACTACTTTAAAATGATCCTGGATTGGAACATGGTCAGAGTAGAAACCTGCCTCACATTTTCAGGAAAACATGATCATAACTCCATATGCAAACATTCCCGGTGGGTTTTTGAGAGACGAGATCCATCTTTCTGTTCGATCGTCATATACTCTGCAAACATCAATTCTCTCTGCCCTCATTTGGCCTCTATTGACCAAACTGAAACTAGGCTATGGGACCATTATACATGAGAGTTTTTCTGCTGATGCCTTATGTTGCGTTTTTAATATTTCCTAACTAATTTTGTTTTGTTTTGTCTTTCACTGAACCCAAACAGAGAGGCTATAAACATATTATGGGAAAAGACCTCCACCAAGACATCACTCAAGTCAAAAAAGGTAAGAAGAAACATGGGTTTGAAGTATACAAATGCATTAGACGTACGTGAATCACCAGAGGACTTCACACATCATCACACCATGAAACAGACAATGGGACAGCAGGAGGATAGCAATGAACAGGCTGAAGTTACCATACTCCCAGCAAAGTGTCTCCATGTGCAGCTTGAATGACAATCCGTGTTTTTTGACTTGAGGTTGCATTTCTAAGTCTTATCTCAGTAAAGTTGAATGTTTTTAAGTGGCCTCGAATGGAGAGACTTTGTCCACCTTTGTCGGGAATGGGATGAATTAGGACCAGTTCAGCGTGTATATCCTCAAACAGACAAAAATAGTGCATTCCAAAGATGTTATATTGGCATGAATGATATTGATTACCCTCGTGGGGGTGGAAACTGTGGGCTGATGACATGGAGAGAATGACCCAGGGCAGAGGTGTTGATGATGAGGAGGAGGAGGGCTGCGACACAAGCCGAAACCCATACAGTGGGTTATTATGACCCATCATTTAACATTGGATCATACTCCTATACTGAGATTGTGTTTGATTATTGGGTTTTGATCAATCTGATTCAGTGTGTGTGTGTGTGTGTGTGTGTGTGTATGTGCGCATGTCAATCTATCTCTATGTGTTTGTGTGTGTCTGTGTGGGTGTGTGTGTGTGCACATGTCAACCTCTCTGTGTGTGTGTGAGTGTTTCTGTGTGTGCGCATCTCTCTGTGTGTGTGTATGTGTATCTCTCTCTATGTGTGTGTCTGTGTGTGTGCGTTTGTGTGTGTTTCCAGACTCAGACGCGTCACAAAGGCCTGTGTCTGGTCCTGGGACAGAGCGACCTGAGCTTCAGCGGCAGCAGAGTCCTCCTCAGTGTGTCCACAGAGAGCCTCAGTCTGCTCTGCGTCTCCTCCCTGCAGGTACACACCACTCTGAAGCCGATTGGTCAATCCTTACATGGCTCATCTCTGGATTCACAAAGAAAAAATCACTGAGAGCGCTAAACCATGATCACAGAGAGCGCTAAACCATGATTCTTTTGAGCCCAAATTGCTGAGTGTGATGCAAACGTTTACTGAGCCAGAGAAGTTTACATTTCTGTCTAAGTCAATAGGAGTCAGAGCGAGTTGGACCAAAGCTTTGTCCATGAGCACTTCCCTATTGGGCTTCATTGAGCAAGCGGCTTGTCCGTCTTTATAAAGCCATGCATTTATATCAGGCATGTCCAAACTCAGGTCCCTTTTTAACGGCCCACTGGCTTCATAACTAAATGTAGTCTTTGAGACCCCAAACACGATTCACAGTGTCATCCAGCCAACTTCAGCTGTACCAGTGGTTGACATCTCATGGTTGTGATGCTCAGAATCCAGTTGTTTACTCTAATAGTATAGACAGACCTTTGTTTTCGACTGTGTCATATAATTCCATATAAGGCTCTAATCTTACTGTCCAGAAATGTAAATCAATAAAGACAGATCAAACCATTTTTAAGTTCAGAACAGCCCAAATCCAGTCAAAACAGTTTTAAGCCTTACCCTCACCTTTTGAGTCACTATGTTGAAATATTCTTCTTTGGGGCATCTAACTTGGTTTTAGGCACTTTAACTGCATCTTATCCATTTGGTAAAGGCCTATGATTTAAAAAAAAAGGGGGGGGGAGGGGGTGAAAAAAGGCATAAAAACAAATGACTTGTGTTATTTTGGCTCCTACATCTTAGAAAATCCTAAAAAAAAAAAAAATACATTGCTTTCTTCAGAGAGTGAACATTAAAGGGTTCAAACCCATGATGTCGGTGAACTAAAGTAACTAAAAAGTTGTGATTTCCATGTATCTGTAAATCAGAATCTCTTCCGTTCTCATGTTTCCCTGTTGGATGTTTCTCCTGCAGAAGATCGCGCATCACTCCATGCAGTCCATCTCCTTCGCCTCCGGAGCCGACCCGGTACGTCAGCGCACGTGTTGCTTCATCCTGTTAACTGCTGGCCCTTTATTCAATTAGACGTCTCTTCCGACTTCATTACATTTCCATCCTTTGAACCCAGATTCACCGTATGCTCTCTATTCGCCAGCATTTTCAACTCATGTCTCTCGAAGAGATCTTTTAGGAATGATTCTCGTGAAATAACATCAACAACAGTGATCGAAGTTTACAAAGGATTGAGAAGATGACATGTCTTTTTCTTTTATTACTATTCTTTACATTATTTTAACACATTTTGAATCTACTAGAACGCCCTAACCCTAACTTTTATTATTGAGTTTTATTAAAAGAAAGCAAGTTATAAGAAGTTTTAGCTTAACTCTGTTTTAATTTAATATACACTGAAATACAGCAAATGCTATCTATACGGCTAAATGCTAACTGCTGACAGTAAACGGTGTGTTGCTATGGATACTAGCACTTGCACTTCTCCGGTGGAAAACCAAGCTGGATCAGGACCAGGACCATGACAAGGACAAGGACCAGGACCAGGACCAGCATATTGGAGAGAAGGTGCTAGAATGCCGTTTGCCAAGGGACCAAAAACCACTACATACAGTATAAAGTATAAGTTCAAATGAATGAAGCGATAAGAGTAGAACTAATCATTTAAAAACTAAAATATAATTTCATAAAAATAATGACAAAGAAATAAACTTCAAAGAGACATGAGCTGCTAGCATACTTCTGAAACCATCAATTTGACTCGTCTGGCAGTTCTAGTGTTAAGAATAACGGAACCAAAAGTCTGTTATGGTTTTATATGTGGACCAATGAGAACGAAGTATTGGCACTTTTTTATTTTAACATGCTTCACAAAATGTTCAAAACTATCGGGAAATTGAGTCAAATGTTAAGTCAATGTTAAGTATCAGGGTAATCCTCTCTTTTTCAGTTTTCTGTCTTAAAAAACTGTTCTAAAGACGAGAGGCCAAAAACACATGCATTAGAAACTGTTTTGAGAACGAGTAACTAGCAGTTGCATGGATTTGGGAAGTTTATCTGTATTTTAGTGAAGCGCCCAATCCCTTCCATAGGCTTTAAACATCCAACTGTGAAAAGCGGTTAAATGTAATCATCAAAATTGTACGACCAACGCATGATACGTCCATAATCTAATCTCTGACGTCCCAAATCCACACCGGCTCTTCCTCTGACCTGATAAAACACAATGTGGGTTATCTCTGGACAGTAAACTTCCTCTTGTCCTCAATAACGAGCTCGCAAACCCAATCACTGGACCCAAAATCAATGAATTCCTGTGAAAGCAAAACCGGCAGGACATGTCCGATAGTCCACCACTCATTACTGCTCTGAGAGGAAGAGAAGCTATGAATCGAGGCAGGATTATGAGCTGGGATTGGGAGTTATAGAGATGCCCTTCTAAATAGAGCTGCTTCCTTTGCTCACGGACAGAAGGTGTTGGTGTAATCTGTGGCCGTTTGGTGTTTGGGTAATGAAAGGATGAGGTTTTGTCTTGTTAACCTGTACATTTTTATACACGGAATACAGAACAGTAACTTTGCAGGAGAGAAGCTGAGAAGGTGCAGGCTAAAGCGATTGCTAATTTTGCTAACCCTTTTCGCTTGTGTTTATATGAATGGATACAGGGAGTTTTCAGAAGCAGCTGAATAAACATTAAAGTTTTAAGTTTATGCAGCCTTCCAGAACATGTTTTTCAAGCTTATAAACATGAATTAATTAATTTAAATTAAAATATTTACTCATGATACCAACATACATGCAAACATTTAAGGGTTAAGGCGTACACACAGAATCACATACAGGCCTACATTCAGGCATACAGGCGTTAATACAGGTCCTACATACACTCCGTAAATTCAGGCTTACATACAAGCGTATACAGGCGTAGATACAGGAGTGCATACAGGTTTACATACAGGCATACATACAGGCGTGCATACAGACATACGTATACAGAGTTATATACAAGTGTACATACAGGTGTACATCCAGACTTGCATACAGGCATACATACAAGCAAACATACAGGTGTACATCCAGACTTGCATACAGGCATACATACAAGCAAACATACAGGTGTACATACAGGCGTAAATACAAATGTACAGGCTTAGATCCACTGTAGAAGGTTTTCCTCGAGTCCTGCGACGGTGAGATGTCTCAGCACAGACTACAGAATGCCACTTATCCAATAACATTCATCTCATTTTCTGTGATTTGATTTCATTTTGACAATAGATGTTATCAGGCAGGCTGTTTATTCGCAGCAGAAAGAGTCTTGTGCAAGAACATGTTGTGAACGAATCAGGCAACAACATGCTGTCTTCATCTTAATAGAAAACATGCTCTCTTTTGCATACTAGTAAAAAAGCCCTGTGAGTCACTGTTTGACACTTCAGGGATTTTTGAAAAGCCAGATCCGCCCAGTTCCACCAATTCTTGAGCAAATCCTTTCAAATGTATTGCCAATAACAATGTAAAATGAAGTAATAGTGAGTAATAGTGAGTAATTGTAAGTAATTACAATTACAAGCTGCCTGCACAGATGTTGGTGCAGTTCTACACGGCCATCATCGAGTCCATCCTCACCTCCTCCGTCACCGTGTGGTTCGCTGGAGCCACAGTCAGGGACAAACAGAGACTACAGCGCATTGTGCGCTCTGCAGAGGAAGTGATCGGCCGCAGCCTTCCATCGCTGCAGGACCTGTACGTCGCCCGAGCTCGAGGCCGGGCTGGTCGTATCACAGCCGACCCCTCTCACCCTGCACATGGACTATTCCAAACACTCCCCTCAGGCAGGAGGCTGCGGTCCATCAGGACTAGAACCTCCCGCCACAAGAACAGTTTCTTCCCCTCTGCTGTTGGACTCTTGAACACTTCTTAACCTGTCCCCCCGCCCTTTATAAAGTCACTTTACTGCCCATCATACGTCACTTTACTTCACTGTACTGCTGTCACCTTACATTGTGTGCACCATGTGCACTTGTATATTGTAAAGAGTAACTGTAACTCTATTTTAAATTTAAATTTATTCCTTAGAAGTGTTTTTTATTCTTATTTTTATTATCTCTTTCTGACTGTTGCACTGAGCCAAAGCAATTTCCAAGTTTGTGACTTCCTGTTACTTACGTGGCAATAAAAATGATTCTGATTCTGATAATAGTAAGTAACAGGCCAAACTTTGATGTTCAGCTTCGCTCTTGTTCTTGTCCTTCCCTGATGTGGTTCTAAATTTCTTAAAAGATTGGACCATTCCTCATGTATTCATTGTGTTTTCAGGACATGTCTGACTACATCGCTTATGTGGCAAAGGACCAGGACAATAAGAGAGGTGAGATGAGTATTGTTATTGATGTGTTTGTCTTTGATTGTTATTAGGCAAGGCAAGTTTCTTTGTATAGCACATGCACAAGGCTCAAAGTGCTTAACAAAACAAGATCAAAACAATCATACAAGGCATTAAAATCATAAATAATCACAGTAAATTTCTCTTTCTACCTTTTATTACCACTTTAGAAGAACAATCTTATAAAGATGTGAAATCCATCATTACCATCCTCCCACCTGCTCTGTCCACAGCGTGTCACATCCTGGAGTGTCCACAGGGGGGCGCAGTGGAGGTCATAAACAGCATCGGTCAGGCGTTTGAAACACGGTTCCACCAGATGCTCAGCCAGTCCTCCCCTCTCCTCAGCGGTGCTCCCAGGTCTGACACACGCTCTTTATGTTTATTACAGGCTAAAAAGTTGGTCAATAATCATTTCCCTGCATGTAACAAAATGTAATTTGTACTATGGTGTGGTACGACCAGGAAAGCTCAGAAGCCTTTTCCTCCTCTGTTTTTATGAATGCAAATGTGCTATACTTTAAGACGCTTTGTGGGAGTATATCCCTCTCAATATTTCCCTCTGGGTGTTGTGAGTGGTTCTGATGCAGGAGGGTCTGAGGACAGTGATGATCCAGATCATTTAAGGATATTTCTGGACAGTGGTCCTCCTCCTCTCTATGAACCAATGGCTCCTGTTTGTTATTATTGCATTTCCTGTGCTTGATCTGTCTGATTCTATAATATGTTGTTGAGTAAATGACAACTTTGTGCCATCCTCTGAGTGGACTGCTGTTGTGTGTTAGGGCTATAAATATATACAAATATATATATACTGTATATATAAATGGAATAGAATGGAACATTAGAATATTTTGAAAATGACTATAATCCATAACAATCAACATTAAAACAGAAAGGCATATGTCACTTTGCAGGCAATACGTCCGTATCATCATACTTGGGTCTCAAGTTTAATTACAGAAATATATGAACTTTTGAATAATATATCTGAGAGAATTAGATCCCCATAACCTCTAAGCCTATATTAAAAAGTCTCAGAATAACAATGGCTGTCAGATAATCATTAGCCAGTTGTAGTTGTGTTTGACAACATGTGTGTGTCGTGTGCACAGGTCAGTGGACCCCAGTCCCAGATCGCATTCAAGTCTTTCCCCGGGTCTCGACTATTACAACATAGTTCCAAAGAAGACGCCTCCTGCTGGTGGGGCAGAGGATCTGCCCCTCTCTGAACGGGACACAACACAAGACCAGATTGTGCAAAGGGTAAGGTCACAATCATATCGTTATTTGTGCATTGATGAATATTCTACTGTGTTTATTGGAAGAAACGGCAACCTCCAGGAATATGATCACAATACTCAAGTTTATTATCAGCCATTCACCATTTTAGCTCTTGTTAATGAAGGTGAGATGTCTTTACTTAGAACAAAAACAACCTATTGTCACAAAAGCATAGGCTCTTTTTTACTCTGGGGTGATATTTAATAAAGAGCAAAAGGAGCAAATTCATTCATGCATTTGGCGGAAATAGATCTGTGGAAATATGTGCTTTTTAACGGATGGACGCATTTATTCTTTACTCTCCTCCTCAGTCCTCAACTCAATTTGATCATTATAACCCAGAATAAAAAAATTCTGAGCCTAACTAAACTCTTAAAACCGGGGTATCTTTTGTTTTTGTTTCATAAATAATACATGTTATTTGTCCCAGCAGAGTCTTGTGAAAGTAAAATATTGTGAACGATTCAGTCTGGCTGCATCCACTGAGTTAGCGATCAGTGGATATACTGTATGTTCTTTAACCAAAGCCAAAGTACATCCGTGAGCACTAGCCCATATGAACCAACTCAGGTCTAAACATAAGAATGGTGTTTCAGATTTATGCAGCTATAATCTGGAACAGTCTTCCTGAAAATGTGAGACGGTACTCTACTCTGACAATGTTCAAAACCAGGTTAACACAGTTGTTTAGCTGTGCTACAACTGAAGGATTGTATCTTCATACGTTTAATGTACTGTGATTGATTATGGTTGAATGCCTTCTCTGACTGTTTCTATCCTGTTGTGCTAAGCTGTTTGAGTTACCATGCTTATGAATTGTGCTATACCAATAAACTTGCCTTAGCCAAGGTTACACTGCAGGATATTTAATAGTGTTTACTGCACTACAGTCACAAGGCTTAGGGTTATTCAGTGCATTGATCGGATTGGCCCTGATCAGGTCTGAATAATTTCCTGTTCATCTGTAATTCAATTATTTAACCGTGACTCAACAGTGAACAGAGGACACACAGACCGCCTTTACTTATTTATCAACAACAAAACATTGAGTCAAGAGATGTATTGAATAATATGTATATATCACATATCACCATGATTAGACTGTTGTTACGGGAAACATTCAGTGGTTGAATGTGCTTTTCTCTGAGACATAGTCCTAATCTACATCTATGTCAGCACTAGATGATTATTAGTATGACATAAAAGATCTCAATGATCAATTCAATGAATGGTTGAATTGTTGTAACTCTATACTAAGCTCCTGACAGAACTGTTGTTGCTGTATGGTGGTCTCTCCCTCTGGTCTCTCTTCCTCTGATCTCTCTGGTCTCTCTCTCTCTGGTCTCTCCTTCTGGTCTCTCTCTCTGGTCTCTCCTTCTGGTCTCTGGTCTCTCTCTCTCTCTGGTCTCTCCTTCTGGTCTCTGGTCTCTCTCTCTCTCTGGTCTCTCCTTCTGGTCTCTCTCTCTCTCTCTCTCTCTCTCTCTCTCTCTCTCTCTCTCTCTCTCTCTCTCTCTCTCTCTCTCTCTCTCTCTCTCTCTCTCTCTCTCTCTCTCGATCATAAAACACTTGTTGAACATGCCCACGGGTCTCGTCCCAAACTGTGCAATAGTCACCTCTGTTCAATCAAGCAGCTCCTTCATTTGAGGTTTTTAAATCCAGTCTAAAGACACATTTCTGCCTTGGCTTTCAACACCAACTGAGTTCTAGGGTTTTACATTTTACAGTTTTTTTGTGTATGTCATTCTGTCTTTTCTTTTTTCTTTTGTGCATGTGAAGCACTTTGGGCAGAGGTGGTTACTGTTGTAGTAAATGTGCTATACAAATAAAATTAAATAAAGACATTGACTTTGACAGTACATAATACAACATGAAACACTTTTATGAATAGGGATCTTAGTCACACAATAAGAAACATCTCAGAGTTCCTGTATCTCAGATTATGGACAAGTCTAAAGAACTTTTGATGCAGGTTTGTCCACATCCGTCTGGGGTCCTGTATGAAAACTGCTCCACCACAGAAAGGACAGCGCCACCTGAAGGTGAATTTAATTTACAACCTCACTCAGCTCATTGGCTATCAGCCCAATGTGGCAAATAGTACTCATGGCTCTTTCTTAGGCATATACAAAAAGTCTTCCAATATTATAAATACAGAAAGTTGTGGTCTCTCTCCTGTCTACTCACTCTTTTCTCCTTTTTTCTCCTCACTCCTCTGTCACTCCTCTCTCTCTCCTCTCCTCTCTCTCTCTTTCTCCTCACTCCTCACTCCTCACTCCTCACCTCATCTATGGGTTTTACATTTACAATACATCGGACCAAACATTATATATATTTCATTATTAATAAAGTTAGGAACCCCAGCTTTATAGGTATGTTTTGCAACACAATCTCATTCATCTGATACTTCTCCTTCAGCAAGATCAGCGGTCAACTCTGTTTGTTCGACAAAAGTCTTGATCCAGGACGAGGACTGGTTCCACGGCAGGTAAGCTCTATTACAATAGATCCATGGTGGTAACACACTCCACTCCACTGCGCCCCCTGGTGGCCGTGTTTGACCGTGTGCTGTGCCTCAGACTGGGCCGGGAGCAGGCGGAGGCGCTCCTCAGCTGCAGTGGAGACTTCTTGGTGCGGGAGAGCAGCTCGGCCACAGGGCAGTACGTCCTGAGCGGCAGAGAGGGCCCTACGGTCCGACACCTGCTGCTGGTGGACCCTGACGGACACGTGAGTCACACGTCGCCTGCACCGTCATTTTGACAGCAGTGGCTCCAGGGCCGTACCTAAAAGACGGTCCTCATTACAAGGCCAGCCCTGAGGTGAAAGTGTTCGCGACGCCCCTCAACATCCTCAACTGTCTTTGTTATTTCAAACAATGGGGTTGTTTTAACACTTTAACACAGAATTCTGAAACTATCCTTGAACTGCAGAGCATCATTTTGGATTTGGATTAGAATTAAACATTTTTGGATGATTGTTCATTTGATTAATAACAGATATTAGATTAGGTTGGAGCAACATTCTTATGTAAACCCATCCTGACAGAACTTCACCTACAGCACACTAGACACATCAACTATGTACAGTACATATTGAAATACACATTGCAACAAAAAGTTTTATTAAAAATAATTGATAGTAATAATTGATGTATGGTTTTTACAGTTGAACTGAAGCAGGTTTGTCAATATGTTTTTTTGTTTCTTTTGTTTCAGGTTCGCACAAGGGACAAAGTCTTCCTCAGCATCGGTCACTTGATCCACTTCCACATGAAGAGCCAGACACCCATTCAGTGCGGCACAAGTGAACTGAGTCTGAAACAGCCAGTCCGCCCCAAACCGCTGCGTACCGGAACACTGAGTACCGGAACACTGAGTACCGGAACACTGAGTACCGGAACGCCAAGCACCGGAACACTGAGTACCAAAACGCCAAGTATCGGGGCCTCCTCTGTGTAGAACTCATGACATTATGGGACATTCAATCAGATATTTTTCCAAAGCTTGTGGACCCTGCGTGAGGACATTCATACAGTAGTTACTGTATTTTTCCTGTGATTAAAAATGCTGCTGAAATGTATTTATTTATATTGACTCTTTCCTCCATTGATTTGATCCTCACTCTGTCTATTTGTAAATACTGTATATATTTGAACATGCTCATCATTTTAATAAACCACAGACTTTTATGATCGTGTTTGTACATTATTATTTATAATCTTTCCTATTTTTTTCCAAGGCTGCAAGAATATTTTGAGATCTTGGTTCAAATCCTAGTTCATTGACAGGTTTCAGAGGATATCACACATTCTGGGACTCGATTAAAAAAATTTATCTAATTAAATAGAGGCTTTGTGATTAATTAATCGCAGTTTAATTGCATATAAATATTGGTCCTGAGAACAGTAAGTTTTACTTTAGGTCAAGTCGGGAGGTGGTGTAAATGTGTACGCTCATTTCAACCTTCATTGCAACACCCCAAAACACGCTCGAAATGCAAGATTTGGACAACAATAAGCTCACACAAACAGGAGTCGCTCGCTGCTCCTCTTCCTCCTCTCACACAGAGTCCATAGCTCCATAGCCAGCGCTCTTCTCCGTCTCTAACCCATAGACTGTATATACTAACGGACAGAGTCACGCCTATCTCCGCCGTTCTAACTAATGGGCCAAAAAATGTGCTCTACTGGAGCTATCCAAAATGGCCGCGAGTTGTCCCGCCCACAAGAAAATTGTGAAAAAACGCATCTGCGCATGCGTCAGCCGGCGCAGCTCCATTCATTTGAACGAGAGACTTCAGAAATTCACAGCGAATAAACTAGAGTGGTCTAAAAAAAATCCACCCCCCTCAGCATTGACACACATGTGGAACGGAGCTTTGGGCCAAGAGCCAACTTTTGGTCCATCCTGTAAAGACGTTTTCCAGAGGTCTGCCAATGCTATATGTTAGCATTGGCTAATTCTTCTTCTGGGTCCACCCCCATCGGCCCGGAGTGGTATTGCAAGCATGTCAGCGCACGTCATTTTGGCCACTTTTGAGCTGGGACCCGCCCCCACTGCTCTAACCATGTCTCTAACTCACTCAGACGGCTAAATTTGGTCTATGCTTGTTATAATGTACTTTTGAACAAGATAAGTCACAGAGCTCAGTTGGCGCTCCAGTATAATCGGTCCGTCTGAAACTCATCCTCCAGTGAGGAAGGTTCCGCGGTGGAAAATACGCATGCGATCCATCCATCCATCCATTTTCTACCCTTTAATCCATTTCTGGGTCGGGGGGGTGGCAATCAGAGATGCCACCCAAGTCTCATAGCACCAGCCCCTCACTGACCCTCTGCAGGTGGTGAGTCCACAGGAGGACGGCTGCTCTGAGTGTGAGCATAGCCTTGATCTTTCAGTGGGGGCTTTGGGCAAAGTGGGGTTAAGTGTCTTACCCAAGGACGCATGCGATTAAAATGCGTAAATGTTTCTAACGCGCTAATTTTGGTGCCGTTAATTAAGCGCAATTAACGCGTTAAAGTCCCGGCTCAACCACAAACATTATATACTGTAAAGATAAAAGAACCAGCATATTATTAAAAATCCCACAACACATCTAGATGCTGGCTCTCCGCTCCACATCAAACCAAGTCTTTGCGAAGCACAGGTGCGAGAGACGGGAGGAGGGAGAGAGAGACGCAAAGAGAGAGAGAGAGAGACGCAAAGGGCGAGAGAGACGCAAAGAGCGAGAGAGAGACGCGAGGAGCGAGAGAGACGCAAGGAGGGAGAGATGCGAAGAGAGAAAGGGAGAAACGCTAGGAGAGAGACAGAGAAACGTGAGGAACGAAAACAAGAAATAAACAAGTTGCAGAACTTAAGAACAGTGTTAAATCAGTGTTTTTTGGGAAAGTACTTTTATGCAACTATCTAGTCAATTTTCAATACAAAACACAAACACTGACAAACTCCTCCCCCGCGGCCGGACTAACCTCGTAAGTCCAGTGGCAGTCTCTCTCAGTCTATATTACTTCTTGCTTAGATTGAAGGTCCAGTAGAGAAAAAAATCAAATCATCCATTTTCCAGCAAAAGAAATAGCACCGATAGGAGGAGTAATTGTTGGTTAGCAAAATATTTACAGTCTATGTTTATGCTCACTATCACCCCTAGCGGTGAGGCACAGACACTGCCTGCCTCACGGCAAGCTTTTTCCTTGTGTATTCTTCTCCGATCTTCTCCGACTTCAGACAAATAAAAATAGTACACACATACGTGCTATACATTACTGTATTCTACTGTTGATGAACTGTTTAACTCTGTCACCTCTAGTGTTTGAATGTTCTGGATACCATTTCCCCTGTGAAGGTTAAAGACCTTATGACGGGTTTTAAAAAAAAAAATAGTGGTTATCAAAATTGCACGACAATGTCAATTTGAAAGAGATTCCGGCAAAAAAAATCCTATATTTTATAAAAAGAACGTGTTTTTCATGATTTTAAGTTGTCTATTCTCTAACCTGTGTGTGACGTCATAGCGGGTTACGCCCATGCATTGAAAACCATGGATCTATGCCACAGGACTGCCTTTTCTCTCTTCTCTCCACTGGTGCCCAACACAATACTGCCCTCTACAGGTGACAATTGCTCACTACACATAAATTGCCGTTTTGAGTGTGAAAAAGTGTCCAAGGAGGGATTTGAACCCAAGTCTCTGGATTGACAGTCCAGCAACACAACCACTGGACTATCTCAGTGACAACGAAATGATATATACTAGTAGTTATTTTAGACTCGCTGTACACGGCCTTGTCATCTTGAATATCCGCGAAAAAAGAACGAATACCAAATTGTAAACAACTTACAGCATTGAAACGTACCCGTTCTGACGTCACCAAGGGCTGTGAAGTTTTTTCGTTTCTAAGGGCGTTGCTATGGGGTTATTTCGATTTGGGGGGATCAGACAAAAACAACAACAACTGATTTTGAAACCTTTAGTAGTTCTCTTCTAATATAAAATGGTATTAAAACTGTATTTCTAAATAAATCAAACCCGTCATAAGGTCTTTAAAATAGTGAAAAATAAGCAGAAGGAAGTGGCGCAAGTCCAACCTCCAGGTTGATTACGAGATCGTCAAAGATAAGTTATGCGAGTTTAACCAGGTGCTACGTAGTATGAGAGAAAGGTCCATGGACCTTTCTCTCATACTACGTAGCACCTGGTTAAACTCGTTAAACCTGGTTAAACTTCTTCCGCTTTATCCATTGCTGGGTCGCGGGGGCAGCAGTCTAAGCAGAGACGCCCAGACTTCCCTATCCACACACACACACACTTCCTCCAACTCGTCCAGAGGGACCCCAAGGCGTTTCCAGGCCAGCTGAGAGACATAGTCCCTCCAGCGTGTCCTAGGTAGTAGTAATCTTTATTTATGTAACGCCTTTTCACTGCACATCAGAGTCTCAAAGCGGTTTACAATTGTGGTTTTTTGGGAGTGGGGGTGCCAGTACAGGAGGCACATGCCAGACCTATTGTACATATTTTTAGTGGTAGGGGAAACCGGAGCACCCAGAGGAAACCTACACGGAGAACATGCAAACTCCACTCAGAAAGGCCCTGGTCCAATTGGGATTCGAACCCAGGACCTTCTTTCTGAGAGATGAGAGTGCTATCCACTCAGCCACCGTGCCTCCCAGGTCCTAGGTCTTCCCGGGGCCTCCTCCCGGTGGGACGTGCCCAGAACACCTCTCCAAGGAGGCGTCCAGGAGGCATCCGGAACAGATGCCCGAGCCACCTCAACTGGTTCCTCTCAACCTGGAGAAGCAGCGGCTCTACTCTGAGCTCCTCCCGTGTGACTGAGCTCCTCACCCTATATCTAAGGGAGCGCCCAGCCACTCTGCGGAGGAAGCTCATTTCGACCGCTTGTATCCGCGATCTCGTTCTTTCGGTCATTACCCAAAGCTCATGACCATAGTTGAGGGAGGGAACGAAGATTGACCGGTGAATCGAAAGCTTTGCCTTTCGGCTCAGCACCCTCTTTACCACAACGGTCCGATACAGCGACCGCATCACTGCGTGTTAAGTCAATCTCGGCTTAAATCTAAACATCTTTCTAATCTACTCTTACTGCTCTGTCTATCTTCCAATCTCTTTTGTTATTTTAAGTTTAGCCTGTAGATGAAGGCATAGTTAGAATGGGACCAGTAGTCTGGCAAATAATTAGCCAAGTTTGTGCAGGTGTGTAACCACACACACAAACTGAATGCATGAAGGTGAACACAGATGCTACTGGTGAGTGAAGATTTCTGTTTAAAAGCTTAAAATAGACAAAGGCCTCGTTTTTAGTTCGTTTGCGATCAGGAATGTAACATATTTTGGCTAATTCAACCACTTTTGAGTCACCCAAGTGAGGGGTAATATTATTTAACTTATTTCTCAGTCTAGGCACCTCAGCTCTATTTGGCTAATATCTATTGTGGGTAACTTTCAGTTAATTGTAATAAATATTTACAAGAAATTATCTTTAACGTCTCACAATCAGTTTAACTGATTGGCTCTCTAAGTTGAGTTAACAGTACAGTCTAAAATATTTGTAATTCATTTATTTGTTTAAATAATCTTCAATCTAAAAAGTTAGTGTTATGATCAAATACAATGTTAAAATATTTTGATAAAATTTGTAAAAACTAAAAGTAATTAAGTTAAATTCTAAAAGTATTTGGACCGCAGTTATTGTAATAAAACATTACAATTACGATAAGTACAATAAAATTCAAGTTAAAAACATTGTAAAAATAGTACAAATTTAGTTTAAAAGTATTAATTCATTCTTTAAAAAGTAATTGGATAAAATCTGTTTATTAAAAATGTATATTTTCTCCAAAGGTTTTCGACCTGCTGCTGTTGCTACTGCTGATGCATCAAATGACAATAAAAAGTTAAAGCTGAGTTGAACCTGCGTCCTTGTGTTCATTGGTTTTTCAAGTCG